GCTGCGCGAAAGACGGAGACTATTTAAGGCCATAACCGATCAACAAGCGCATGACTCATTCATTAGGAAGAGAATGCAGCATCTCGAGCAGATGGACTCGCCCTCCAGATACTTCTTCCGCTTCAACAACAGCAACAACAACAAAAGCAATAACATCCCCAGCCTAATGACAGAAGGCGAAATAACAACCGCCGAGGAGATGAGAGAAACAGCCACCCGTTTTCTCTCGAAACTGCTCCAGAGCGAAGCCACACAGACAGGAGAAGCCGACAAGCTTTTAGAAGGGAACCCCACTCTGAGGGAAGCAGACATAGATAAACTGGAGAACCCCATCACCCTAGAAGAGCTGCGAGCTGCGATGGCGGGACTGCCCAGGGGGAAATCCCCAGGCATTGACGGGCTCCCAGTAGAGTTCTACTCGACTTTCTGGGACATACTGGGCCCCTGCCTGCTTAAAGTGTTAGCAGCGAGTCTGCAGAAGGGGAAACTGCCGGTCAGCTGCAGGAGAGCAGTAGTGGTGCTGCTGCCCAAAAAAGGAGATCTCCGCAAAATGGAAAACTGGCGACCAGTATCCCTTCTATGCACAGACTATAAAATAATCGCCAAGGCGCTAGCAAACCGACTGAAAACTGTAGCGGGCTACATTATAAGCCAAGAACAAACCTACTGCATTCCCGGTCGCACCAGCCATAACAACATTGGAACGGTCCGGGACGTCATATCCTTGGCAAGAATACATAACATACACTCAGGACTGCTGCTCATGGACCAGGAGAAAGCCTTTGACAGGGTGGATCACAACTATCTGGAAAGGCTCCTGTCCTCCTACGGATTTGGATCCAACTTCATAGCGCAAATCAAACTGCTATACACCGACATATATAGTACTGTAAAAATTAATCAACGCCTGGGTCACCCCTTCCCGGTCACGAGAGGAGTGAGACAGGGATGCCCCCTCTCAGGGCTGCTGTATGCCCTGTCTCTGGAACCTGCTCCTCAGGAGGCTAAACGCCACCCTGACCGGACTCACGTTCCCCGGCCCTGACGAAGCGAGCCTGAAACTGTCAGCATACGCCGATGACATCTGCGTAGTAATCAACGACAGCGAGGACGTCAACGCGCTACGCAGCGCAGTAGCAAGCTACGAAAAAGTCGCCGGTGCGAGGGTCAACTGGAAGAAATGCACGGCGCTACGCAAAGGGGCCACGTACCACCACGTGACCTGTACCCCTCCCTGGCGGAGTACAATGGCGAGATGACGGTTTCCTATACCTCGGAGTACTGCTAGGTGACACCCCGACAGTTGAAAAAAACTGGGTCGAACTAATCGTCAAGCTTGAAATCAAATTAAAAGCGTGGGAACACCTCCTCGCACAGCTGTCCTTTAAAGGCAGAACACTCATCGCCAACAACCTTGCAGCCTCCGTCTTGTGGCACAGGGTGAAAGCCCTCCCCCCCCCCCCCAAAGTGGCTGATAGCCAAGGCAAACAAAGCGCTTACCTCCTTTGTCTGGGCGGGCATGCATTGGCTGAAGCCCGGCGTACTCCACCTACCACGACACGAAGGAGGGCAAGGCTTGATAGACGTGGCCAGCTCGAGTCATGTGTTTCCGGCTTCAAGCGGTGAAAACAATACTTTACAACCCAGAAGAGACACCAGTGAAGGCGCTAGCCCTCGCTCTGCTTAGGCGCGCGGGGGACAAATGGGGTACGCAAAAGAGTTATTCCTCATGGACCTCAGCCTAGTCGACAACAGCGGTTTGCCGCCGTATTACCGGAACTTGGGTGAAGCATGGCGAAGTCTGGAGTGGGGCAGGAAAAACCCCTATTGCGGCATGACCGCTTTTCAAAAAGAACCCCTGTTCTTCAACGATCTCTTCGGGGACTTAAAACATGATAAAACGATGGCCCTTCGATTCATCCAAGCCGGCATAAGGACAGTGAGCGACCTGTTGGAAAACTGCAATGACCACCGAAGGTGGAAGAACGCGGCGAAATAAGCCAAGCGGTAAGTCTCCGCACAATACTGGCCGGAGAGAGAATACTACGCGTAGTACTAAAAACGGTGAAACACTTGCAGCTGCAGACACACGTACCAGAAGGCACCGACCCGGCTCACCCCCCCCCCCTCCTGCCTTCCCAAAGCTACACGCTGTCTGTGTCCAGGTCCCAGGGCGGAGCGACACAGGAAGGCTGCTCAAGCTCGAAGATTGCGGGAACATGGCCCTAAAAACCGCCTCCAGAGCAGCAATCTATGGTGTTTGCGTGAAGACTCTACATCGCCGTGCCCAAAATGGAAAGACTGTTTCTCTCCACTGGTAGATGTCACCCCCCAGTGGAAAGAGTTCTACAGAGCCCCAGTAGCTAAAAGGACCGGAGACCTCCAGTGCAGACTGGCCCACTGGGCGCTGCCTTCGGCAGCGTGGGTCCAAAAGATCGACCCAGAAACGTCCACGTCGTGCGCCTTCTGCGACCAAAGAGAGGACCTCGAGCATCAATATGCAAAGTGCCAAAGATTAACACCCCTCTTCATGATGCTGGGGAAAATCTTTAGCAAGTTGAATGTCCCTTTCTTCACAAGCAGCCTGGTGTGCGGAGTGCCTCGCAGGCTGGACCAGCGCCACGTTCTGGCAAACTTTGTTCTGGCACAGGCCAAGATGGCTATATATAAAACGCAAAAAAAGAAGCTGCAAAACGAAGCAACTGCAAACGTGGCCTGCTGGCAGCCAGACTTAAATTGGCACATGAATACCACACCCAAGTGGGAGGTGAGCACACCACGTTCCAAGAGAAGTGGGGAGCCGGTCAGGCTCTCTGCCTCAGTGAACACGGAGGCTTAGTACTCAAAATCTGATGGCCCCCCAGCCGCGACAAGCCGCGCATGCAGCGCGGAACCCAGAGGCGCGATGGGAGCCCCCCGCCTGCGCGAACGGCCGGCGGTTTCTCGAGCGCGCGCGGCGGCGCGTGATGCCCACAACGCGGCGCGCCATCGGGCGCGTAGGACACGGACGACACGGCGCGAGCCGCAATCCTCACCGCCGGAAGGCGACAAAAATGGAGCAGCGTGGTGCGCACTGCGCTGCCAGCAGCATGGCGCGCCACCCGACGTGTGATACACGGACGACACGGCGCGAGCCGCAACCAGCGCCGCCAGAAGGAGGAAAATGGAACAGCGTGGTGCGCACAGCGCTCCAGGCAGCGCGATGCAAAGGCAACCCCGACGCCTGAAGAAGGAGGCAGCGCATGCACGCACGCACGCACGCACCCGTGACAGCTCGGCGTGTCCGACGACGCGATGTGACGCGGCGCGCGCCCTTGATCTACACCGCGAAGGAAGGCGAGTGTGTGGGCGACGAGAGGCGGCCCGGGCGCGAAAGGCCAATAAAGGCGCAGCATGAGCAGCGCCCCAGCGGCCCAAGAGGGTGACTCGCACGCGTAAACGCACGGCACCGGCGGTACGACGCACAGCGCAGCGCTTGGGCACGATGACACGTGCGGTACCAAGGCGCGCGAGCGATGGCGGTTTGGCGACACGGTGCGCGTGAGCAATGGAAGCGCGCGCAGGGTCAAGGGTTTTTTTCTCTCGCTTTTCCCTCGTGGTTCCCCTTTGTTGTCCATTGTGGCGTTCTTTTCGGTGGTTCCAGCCGAACATGATGGAAATGTGACGGTTGGCGACCAAGACACCCGAAACGCAAAACAGCTGTGGCACAATTGTTGCCACGGCAATAAAAGCGCTTTAAAAGTCAAAAGTCTCTCTCTCTCTTGCTCTCTCTCTCTCTTGCTCTCTCTCTCTCCCTCGCTCTCTCCCTCGCTCTCTCTCTCGCTCTCCCTCTCTCGCTCCCCCTCTCTCGCTCTTTCCTCCCCGTGGCTGCATGGATTTTTCTCCAGCTCCTTCGGGGGTTTTCCCTTCACATTTAGATTCCACGACGCCACGGCGGTCGTAAATCACCGCATCTCCGCAAGAGCAAATTTTTGTTATTACGCACTCCATCACGGATGCGCATCGACCACACGTTGCAGTAAGGCTCTCTGCGTCCCTCGCAGAACTGGCTCAGACTATGGGATGGATCGCGAACACGCTGGCAGCGTGTTCCCCCACGTGGGGGCCGGAGACCCCAACACGCACTCGCCGGAGACCTCAACATGCACTCGCCGGAGACCCCAACACGCACTCGCCGGAGACCCCAACACGCACTCGCCGGAGACCTCAACACGCACTCGCCGGAGACCCCAACACGCACTCGCCGGAGACCCCAACACGCACTCGCCGGAGACCCCAACACGCACTCGCCGGAGACCCCAACACGCACTCGCCGGAGACCCCAAGACGGACTCGCCGGAGACCCCAAGACGGACTCGCCGGAGACCCCAACACGGACTCGCCGGAGACCCCAACACACGCTCGCCGGAGACCCCAACACGCGCTCGCCGGAGACCCCAACACGCACTCGCCGGAGACCCCAACACGCACTCGCCGGAGACCCCAACACGCACTCGCCAGAGACCCCAACACGCGCTCGCCGGAGACCCCAACACGCGCTCGCCGGAGACCCCAACACGCGCTCGCCGGAGACCCCAACACGCGCTCGCCGGAGACCCCAACACGCGCTCGCCGGAGACCCCAAAACGGACTCGCCGGAGACCCCAACACGCACTCGCCGGAGACCCCAACACGCACTCGCCGGAGACCCCAACACGGACTCGCCGGAGACCCCAACACGGACTCGCCGGAGACCCCAACACGGACTCGCCGGAGACCCCAACACGCGCTCGCCGGAGACCCCAACACGCGCTCGCCGGAGACCCCAACACGCGCTCGCCAGAGACCCCAACACACGCTCGCCGGAGACCCCAACACGCGCTCGCCGGAGACCCCAACACGCGCTCGCCGGAGACCCCAACACGCGCTCGCTGGAGACCCCAACACGCGCTCGCCGGAGACCCCAACACGCACTCGCTGGAGACCTGCGGGGATCGTAGCCGTGAAACGGGACGAGAAGCTTCACTCGCCGATGTCATTTTACTTTCATTGCGGCGGAGCATTTCGCAGGGCGTCGATCGGCATCGTCCGCACAGACACTCGAGAACGACAGAAACCTCACGCGCCGAGTCGGAAATCAGACGCGTTCGCAGCCACGTCGGAGGATGCCTCATAAATCGAGTTTCTGTGTCGTGAGAGGGTAATGAGTGAGTGAGTGGTGAGTGAGTGGTGAGTGAGTGGTGAGTGAGGGAGTGGGAAGTGAATGGGTAGTGAGTGAGTGAATTACGAAGTGAGTGAGGTAATGAGTGAGTGGCTGGTGAGTGAGTGGGTAGTGAGTACTGTGTGTGCGCGTGCAAATGTGCATGTCAACGCGTGTGTCACCGCGTGAGTCACCACGTGTCAGAGATCGCAATCGGGTACCCGATACCCGTACCCTACCCGATACCCGGCTACCCGTACCCGGCTGGATACGGGTACCCGTATGCGACCCTGGTGCGGCCGGGTACGGGTAGGGTACGGGTAAGGAATCAAAACCCGTTTGCAACCTCTGCCGCGTGCGTCACCGCGTGTGTCACTCCGTGTGTCACTCTGTGTGTGTCACCGCGTGTGTCACTTCGTGTGTCACCGCGTGTGTCACTCCGTGTGTCACTGTGTGTGTCACCGCGTGTGTCACTCCGTGTGTGTCACCGTGTGTGTCACTTCGTGTGTCACCACGTGTGTCACTCCGTGTGTCACTGTGTGTGTCACCGCGTGTGTCACTCCGTGTGTCACTCTGTGTGTCACTCCGTGTGTCACTCCATGTGTCACCGCGTGTGTCACTCCGTGTGTCACTCTGTATGTGTCACCGCGTGTGTCACTCCGTGTGTCACTGTGTGTCACTCCGTGTGTCACCGCGTGTGTCACTCCGTGTGTCACCGCGTGTCACCGCGTGTGTGCGTCACTCCACGCGAGAGCCCCTCCCAGCGTCCCCCTCCCCTCTCCGCCGCTCTCCCACCGCTGCCCCCGCCGCCATCTTGGCGCGAATCTTGGCGACGTCGGTGCGTGCCGCCTCCTCCCTCAGGGCCTGGGAGTGGCGGGCAGCCTTCAGGTCCATCGTCACCCACGGCCGCTCACCACTCCGCTCACCACGCCGCTCACCACGCCGCTCACCACGCTGCTCACCACGCCGCTCACCGCCGTGCTCACGGCCGGCGGTGCGGAGAGCGGTGGGGGGGGCGGGGAGGGAGGCCCCCCGGAGCTCCGAGCCCCAACGTCGAGACCACGGACGGGGGAGCATCTCCACCACGGTCTAGACGGGGACACGGGGAGAGAGACACGTGGGGAAAGAGAGACGGGGTGAGACACACGTGGGGTGAGACACGGGGAGAGACACACGTGGGGAAAGAGAGACGGGGTGAGACACACGTGGGGTGAGACACGGGGAGAGACACACGTGGGGAGAGAGACACGGGGTGAGAGACACGGGGAGAGAGACACGGGGGGTGAGAGAGAGAGACACGGGGGGTGAGAGAGAGACAGAGAGAGACACGGGGGGTGAGAGCGAGAGAGACATAGGGGGTGAGAGAGAGACAGAGAGAGACACGGGGGGGGGGTGAGAGAGACACGGGGGGGGAGGGTGAGCGAGCGAAAGAGTGAGGAGGTTTCCGCACCGTGTTCAGGGGGACTTCCTTGCCGCTGGGCGTCTGTGGGGGGGCCGCCCCCTCTCCCGCAGAGTCCGGGAAGCAGCTGTAGCTGGGGAGAGCGTCGCGCAAGTAGCTCAGATCGTCGTCCAAACGTTGTTCCAGGCGCAGGACCTCGATCAGGTGCACGCGCGGATTGTACAGCTCCACCACCAACTCCACGCCTGCAACGACAATAACCACCGCTCCTAAACTACCGCACAACCACCGCACAACCACAAAAACTACCACCAAATCACAACATCCACTACAACTACCACTTAACCACAACTACCATTCAACCAAAACAACTACCACTCAATCACAACAACTACCACTCAATTACCACAACTACCTCACTGTCCCTGTGTCCCCGTATCTCTGTCCCCGTGTCCCTGCTGTGTCCGCGTGTCTGTGTCCCACCCTGTGTCCCCATGTCCCACCCTGTCCCCGTGTCTGTGTCCCCGTGTTTGTGTGTCCCCGTGTCCGTGTCCCCGTGTTTGTGTGTCCCCGTGTCTCTGTGTCTCCGTATCCCACCCTGTCCCCGTGTCTCTGTGTCTCCGTGTCCCACCCTGTCCTTCGATGACGTTCCGCAGCGTGGCCGTGGCTCCCAGGCCACTCCCGGAGCGTTTGAGACAAATCCCCACGAAGCGCCGGACACGCCCGGGAGACAGCGCGTCAGACAACGTCACCGCAAGCACGCTGCCTGCACAGGGACAGAGACACAGGGACACGGGGACAGAGACACGGGGACAGAGACACGGGGACAGAGACACGGGGACACGGGGAGAGAGACACGGAGAGAGAGACCCACACACACATGCACGTATTAACCGCTAAACACATCCATCACTCGTGGTGTGTGTGCATGCGTGAGTCTGTGTCTGGTTCGAATCATCTGGGCTGGCCCTGCCTACGATCCATCCCGGGATTAACCTGCAGACTGCCTCACAGTGTGAGGAGCTGACAGACCCTTGCTAGATCTGGGATACAGTCCCATCCATCATCGAATCTCTCTCTCTCAGTGTCTCACCACAATAGAAATCGGGGAGAGCCAGGAATTGTCTCCGTATCTCTCTCTGTCTCTGTGTCTCCGTGTCTCTCTCTGTCTCTGTGTCTCTGTATCTTTCTCGCTGTCTCTGTGTCTCTCTGTCTCCATGTCTCTGTGTGTCTCTCTCTATCTCCCTGTCTCTCTGTCTCCGTGTCTCTGTGTGTCTCTCTCTCTCTGTCTCCCTGTCTCTCTCTCTGTCTCTGTGTGTGTCTCTCTCTGTCTCTGTGTCTCTGTGTGTCTCCGTGTCTCACCGGGATAGAAGTCGGGGATAGCCAGAACGCGTCTACCTGTCTCCGTGTCTCTCTCTGTCTCTGTGTTTCCATGTTTCTGTGGTTCTCTCTCTGTCTCCGTGTCTCTGTGTCTCCATGTCTTTCTCCCTGTCTCTCTGTCTCCGTGTCTCCCTGTCTCACCGGGATAGAAGTCGGGGATAGCCAGGACGCGTCTGCGTGTCTCCATGTCTATGCGCTGGAGGTGGAACAGCAGGGGGTTTGTTCGGCTCGGAGGACGGATGAACTCGGGGCTGACTCTCCTGGGAGACACGGGGAGAGAGCGAGAGACAAACAGGGAGACAGAGAGACACAAAGAGAAAGAGAGAGACAGGGAGACAAGCAGAGAGAGAGAGACAGGGAGAGAGACACGGAGAGAGATGTTTAAGCAAGCTGCCGAAACTGGTCCAGAGTGCGTGTGTGTGTCATTGTGTGTGTCTGTGTGGGGAGCGGTGGTGTAGCAGTTGTCCGGCAAAACAACCCCCTACCTCCTCGTGGTGCCGGACGGGCAACGCTGTCATGGGCAGTGCTGTGGGAGGAGGGCCAATTCCGTTTGACCTTTCCCCTCGTGGTGTCTGTGACCACCACAGCGGCCATAAGGGGGCTCTGGACGGGTGCGAGGGGCTGGTAACCCCTCCACCTTCAATTAATTACCGCTAAACCACGACGGTAAATTTTTATTAATAAGCTTGTGCCGGAGGCCCGGGGGGACAGGCGTCTATGACGTCTCCTGGCCAAACCCCATTTGGCGGAGTCAGGAGATTGAATCTTCACCCTTGGGGCTCCTCCAGAAACAATAAAAAATCACTACGGATGGCCACGTGGAATGTTCGAACGCTCACTGCGGAGGAGAGGCTGCCACTCCTCTGTCGGGAGCTGGACCGGTAACGCCTGGATCTCTGTAATATTCAGGAGGTCCGGTGGACCGGCTCTGGCTCCTGCCACCATGAGGAGTGGACAGTCCTATACTCGGGGCAGGAGACTGCCAAACAACAGAGAGTGTCTCTTCTTCTGAACAAAAGAATGAAGGGGGTGTGGGAGCGTGGCGGTAAAGTGTGGGAAGCTGTAAGCCCCAGGCTACTTTGGGCTCGCCTTCCCATCAACCAGAGGCGAGGAATGGTGGTCGTGGTTACTTATGCCCCCACTGAAGACGAACATCAGTGGAGGGATGCAGGCAAGGCCGATGAGTCAGATGCCTTCTATGACCTCCTGTCACAGGTGCTGGCTAAAGTGGCCCCTCGGGATAGAGTCATCTTGTTGGGTGACTTCAATGCCCGAGTTGGTCACGATGCTGGCACCTGGTCTGGAGTGATTGGAAGGCATGGGTCAGATCAGCTCAATAACAACGGCAGGAGGCTGCTAGATTTTTGTGCAGCCCATGGGCTTGTAATTACCAACATGCTGTTCCGGCATTAGCGTATCCACACAAGCAAGAATATCTGCTGGACTACATAGTGACAGAACAGCGGATGCGAGCCCATGTCCTTGACACCAGGACCTAACGTGGAGCTGATCTGCCCACTGACCATCGACTTGTCATCTGTAAGATGCGCCTGCCATTCTTCCACTCCAGTGGTGGGTGTACACCCAGGACCCCATTCAAACCCTTAGTGGCATGGTCTCAGCTGACGAAAGTTGCAAGCGAGAATTTAATCATCGCTTGCGGCTGGGGTTGGCATCGTCCCCCACTCCTCCTGATGTCGAGGGTAAATGGGCGAGGTTTAGGACTGTGGCTCATGCAGCTGCAATGGCTGCTTTGGGTACATGGTCCAGACCCCCCCAGAGACCCTGGCTGACAGAGGAGGTGTTCAAGCTGGCTGAGAAAAAGTGTCAGGCCCACTCTCATCAGCTACAGCATCCCACGTCGGAGAATGAGGAGGCTTACCGCAGCCTTTGCTCGGAAGTTCGGAGAGCCGTGAGGTGCTGCAAGGATGGGTGGTGGTCGCGGGTTGCTGAGGAGATGGAGTCGCTGTTTAATTCCATCAAAAAAGTAACCTGCAGCGCCACATCTATTACCATCATTAGGGGAAAGAACGGTGATCCAATCTCCGACCCCCAGGAACAGGTTTGCAGATTTGTTGAGCATTTCCGTGAGGTATTGGGGAAGGGGACATCCCTCGACATGGAAAACATCGTGGGACAAAGTGGGGATGACCCTGCCGAGGCTGCGGTGCCTCAAATATTGGAAGAGGTCACCCCCTGTGAGTGGCTGGCTGAGGTGCCATCTGTTGAGGAAGTACTGAAGGCGATCCAGAGTCTGAGACCAGGAAAGGCACTGGGCAGAGATGATCTCCCAAGCGAAATGCTGAGGGAGGGTGGCGTTGGTGCAGACTGCCCTACATGACATCATAACAAGTCTGGACCACTGGATGGGTTCCGCAGGACTGGAAGGATGCCCTGGTGGTTCCCCTCTTTAAGAAGGGGGACCGCACAAACTGTAACAACTACAGGGGCATCTCACTCCTCAGTGTACCGGGAAAGGTCCTGGCAAGGATTATTCAACATCGCCTTGCTAGGCACACTGAGGAGAGGCTTGCGGAGCCCCAATGCAGTTTCAGGAAAGGGCAGTCCTGCACAGATGCCATATTTTCTGTCCGTCTGCTACAGCAGAGGTGTAGGGAATTCCAACAAGACTTACATCTCTGCTTTATTGACCTGGTCAAGGCCTATGATACCATCAGTAGGCCTGGGCTCTGGGTAGTTCTCCGTGCTTTCGGAGTCCCTGACCCTCTGCTCACGATCATTAAGGACCTTCATGATGGTGAAAGGGCCCGGGTAAAGCTACGTGGTCGGGAGTCAGAGCCATTCCCTGTTCACCTTGGGATGCGACAGGGATGTCCTCTGACCTAAACAATGTTTACCATCATCTTTGACCACGTAGTTCGAGAAGCTTTCCATCCAGTATAGATACAGTGGGAGGCTGATCGATGCCCAGGTACGGTCAAGGGATGGCTCCCTATGGTCAACTATGTTACGTATGCGGATGCTCTGGTGATTGCTGCCCACTCTGAGGAATTTGAGACTTTGCTGCTGAACCTGTAGCATGCTATTAAGAGGTGGGGCCTTACGATCTAAATGGGTGGAACATGGGCTGGAAAAAGAGATGGACTGACGTGGCACAGGAGGATGTGGAGCTGAGTGGACTTGCCGATGACAGCGGACTCAAGATCAGCCTCTCTGGAGGAGGGTCATGAAGGATGTTACAGGGACAGTTTGAGGCAGTCGCCCTCCAGTAACAACGGAGGGCGGAGGAGCGACGCTCACAACAACGAGCAGAGTGCCGGGCAGCTAAAACACAGCAAGTGGGCACAGTAGGGGGGATAGATGGTGCATTTTCCAGTCGTCGCAGTCAGTCGGCCCATGGCACATGCTGGGTCTGCCCCGTGACCTCCTGGTCATGTGAAGAGCCTTTAACACTTCACGTGGCCTTAAAGTGCACTTGGCCTGGCATAGGCGTTGTGGTGACGTCACCGCCACTAAGTGGTTATCAACAGCTGTTGATATGTGTAGCCATTTATGTGTGTGTGGGTATGTGTCTCTATGTCTGTGTGCATCTGTATCTGCCTGTATATCTCTGTCTCTGTCCCCACGCCTCTGTGTGTGTATGGGGTCTGTGTCTTTCTGTGTGTCTTGTCTCCTGGGCGTCTCTGTTCTTGGTCCCTACATCGGTGTGTGTGTGTATGTCCCTATGTCTGTGTGTGTGTCTCTACATCTTTATTTGTGTGCATCACGTCTCTATGGCGTCTCTGTTCTGATCTGGCTCCCTATCTCTGTGGATGTGGGTATCCCCGTGTGTACCTCGGTCTCTCTACATATCTGTGTGCGTGCCTCTGTCATGTGTGCATGTCTCTGTCTGTGTGTGTCTCTGTGTATATATATGTGTGTCTCTGCATATATATATGTGTGTGTCTCTGTCTGTGTGTGTCTCTGTATCTATATCTGTGTGTCTGTGTGTGTCTCTGTATATATATGTGTGTGTCTCTGTGTATATATGTGTGTGTCTGTGTGTTTCTGTATGTATATATGTGTGTGTCTCTGTATCTATATGTGTGTGTCTCTGTATCTGTGTGTCTCTGTATATATACAGTGAGGGAAAAAAGTATTTGATCCCCTGCTGAATTTGTACGTTTGCCCACTGACGAAGAAATGAGTGCTCCTAATCTCAGCTTGTTACCTGTATAAAAGACACCTGTTCACAGAAGCAATCAATAAATCAGATTCCAATCTCTCCACCATGGCCAAGACCAAAGAGCTCTCCAAGGATGTCAGGGACAATATTGTAGACCTACACAAGGCTGGAATGGGCTACAAGACCATCGCCAAGCAGCTTGGTGAGAAGGTGACAACAGTTGGTGCGATTATTCGCAAATGGAAGAAACACAAAAGAACTGTCAATCTCCCTCTGCCAGGGGCTCCATGTAAGATCTCACCTCGTGGAGTTGCAATGATCATGAGAACGGTGAGGAATCAGCCCAGAACTACACGGGAGGATCTTGTCAATGATCTCAAGGCAGCTGGGACCATAGTCACCAAGAAAACAGTTCGTAACACACTACGCCGTGAAGGACTGAAATCCTGCAGCGCCACAAAGTCCCCCTGCTCAAGAAAGCACATATACATGCCCGTCTGAAGTTTGCCAATGAACATCTGAATGATTCAGAGGACAACTGGGTGAAAGTGTTGTGGTCAGATGAGACCAAAATGGAGCTCCTTGGCATCAACTCAACTCGCCGTGTTTGGAGGAGGAGGAATGCTGCCTATGACCCCAAGAGCACCATCTCCACCGTCAAACATGAAGGTGGAAACATTATGCTTTGGGGGTGTTTTTCTGCTAAGGGGACAGGACAACTTCATCGCATCAAAGGGACGATGGACGGGGCCATGTACTGTCACATCTTGGGTGAGAACCTCCTTCCCTCAGCCAGGGCCTTGAAAATGGGTCGTGGATGGGTATTCCAGCATGACAATGACCCAAAACACACGGCCAGGGCAACAAAGGAGCGGCTCAAGAAGAAGCACATTAAGGTCCTGGAGTGGCCTAGCCAGTCTCCAGACCTTAATCCCATACAAAATCTGTGGAGGGAGCTGAAGGTTCGAGTTGCCAAACGTCAGCCTCTAAACCTTAATGACTTGGAGAAGATCTGCAAAGAGGAGTGGGACAAAATCCCTCCTGAGATGTGTGCAAACCTGGTGGCCAACTACAAGAAGCGTCTGACCTCTGTGATTGCCAACAAAGGTTTTGCCACCAAGTACTAAGTCATGTTTTGCAGAGGGGTCAAATACTTATTTCCCTCATTAAAATGCAAATCTATTTATAACATTTTTGACATGCGTTTTTCTGGGTTTTGTTGTTGTTATTCTGTCTCTCACTGCTCAAGTAAACCTACCATTAAAATTATAGACTGATAATTTCTTTGTCAGTGGGCAAACGTACAAAATCAGCAGGGGATCAAATACTTTTTTCCCTCACTGTATGTCTGTGTGTGTCTCTGTATCTATACTCTTAGTTCTTTTGGTAAAGTCACGTAGGTAAAAAATGAAATAAAAATTAATAAAAATAAAACAATAAAAATCACGACGTCTTCAGGTGTTGCCTCCGAAACGTCGTGATTTTTATTGTTTTATTTTTACTAATTTTAATTTCATTTTTTACCAACGTGACTTTACCGAAAGAACTAAGAGTATGAATCCTTGCAGTCACGAAAGCTTCAAATCTAGAATTCTCTGTATCTATATCTGTGTGTCTGTGTGTGTCTCTGTATCTATATCTGTGTGTGTCTCTGTATCTATATCTGTGTGTCTGTGTGTGTCTCTGTATCTATATCTGTGTGTCTGTGTGTGTCTCTGTATCTATATCTGTGTGTGTGTGTCTCTGTATCTATATCTGTGTGTCTGTGTGTGTCTCTGTATCTATATCTGTGTGTCTGTGTGTGTCTCTGTATCTATATCTGTGTGTCTGTGTGTGTCTCTGTATCTATATCTGTGTGTCTGTGTGTCTCTGTGTATATATATGTCTATCTGTGTGTGTCTCACGTCTCCTCGGCGTCTCTGCTCTGCTCTGGGTCGACGAGCACCGGCCTGCGTGGAGCCTGGAACCCGCCTGGCTCCGCCACCGCCGCTTCAGCAGGGACACCCCCCACGGCCCCGTCCACAGGGCCCCCCCCCACGGCGGCCGCACGCACGCGCCCAGACGCGGTGGTGAAGGCTCGCAGCGAGCCTGAGAGACACAGGGAGGAGACACAGAGTCTGAGACACAGTGAGACACAGTGAGTCTGAGAGACAGTGAGACGCAGTGAGTCTGAGACACAGTGAGACACAGAGAGACACAGTGAGCCTGAGAGACACAGGGAGGAGACACGGTGAGTCTGAGACACAGTGAGACGCAGTGAGCCTGAGAGACACAGGGAGGAGACACAGAGTCTGAGACACAGAGAGTCTGAGACACAGTGAGACAGACACAGTGAGACACATAGAGTCTGAGACACAGAGAGTCTGAGACACAGAGAGACACAGTGAGACACAGTGAGACACAGTGAGACACAGAGTCTGAGACACAGTGAGACACAGTGAGACAGAGAGACAGAGAGTCTGAGACACAGACACAGTGAGTCTGAGAAACAGTGAGACACAGTGAGACACAGTGAGACACAGAGAGACACAGGGAGACACAGAGAGTCTGAGACACAGTGAGACACAGTGAGTCTGAGAAACAGTGAGACACAGTGAGACACAGAGAGTCTGAGACACAGTGAGACACAGTGAGACACAGTGAGACAGAGAGTCTGAGACACAGTGAGCCTGAGACACAGTGAGACACAGAGAGTCTGAGACACAGTGAGACACAGTGAGACACAGTGAGACAGTGAGTCTGAGACACAGAGAGTCTGAGACACAGAGAATCTGAGATACAGTGAGACACAGTGAGACTGTGAGTCTGAGACACAGGGAGGAGATACGGTGAGCCTGAGGGACACAGGGAGGAGACACAGAGTCTCAGACACAGGGAGACACAGTCTCAGACGCAGGGAGACACAGAGTCTCAGACACAGGGAGACACAGCGAGTCTCAGACACAGTGAGACGCAGGGAGACACAGAGTCTCAGACACAGTGAGACACAGGGAGACACAGAGAGTCTGAGACACAGTGAGACACAGGGAGACACAGAGAGTCTGAGACACAGTGAGACACAGAGAGTCTGAGACACAGTGAGACACAGAGAGTCTGAGACACAGTGAGACACAGTGAGACAGAGAGTCTGAGACACAGTGAGCCTGAGACACAGTGAGACACAGCGAGTCTGAGACAGGGAGACGCAGAGACACAGGGAGACGCAGAGACAGTGAGATACAGTGAGACAGAGAGTCTGAGACACAGAGAGACACAGCGAGTCTGAGACACAGTGAGACACAGCGAGTCTGAGACACAGAGAGACACAGCGAGTCTGAGACACAGAGAGACACAGAGAGTCTGAGACACAGTGAGACACAGTTTGTCTGAGACAGAGAGACACAGTGAGACACAGTGAGACAGAGAGTCTGAGACAGAGAGACACAGTGAGACACAGTGAGACAGAGAGTCTGAGACAGAGAGACACAGAGAGACACAGTGAGACACAGTGAGTCTGAGACACAGTGAGACACAGAGAGTCTGAGACAGAGAGACACAGTGAGACACAGTGAGACACAGTGAGACACAGTGAGTCTGAGACACAGTGAGACACAGAGAGTCTGAGACAGAGAGACACAGTGAGACACAGTGAGACACAGTGAGACACAGTGAGTCTGAGACACAGTGAGACACAGTGAGTCTGAGACACAGTGAGACACAGAGAGTCTGAGACAGAGAGACACAGTGAGACACAGTGAGACACAGTGAGACACAGTGAGTCTGAGACACAGTGAGACACAGAGAGTCTGAGACAGAGAGACACAGTGAGACACAGTGAGACACAGTGAGACACAGTGAGTCTGAGACACAGTGAGACACAGTGAGTCTGAGACACAGTGAGACACAGAGAGTCTGAGACAGAGAGACACAGTGAGACACAGTGAGACACAGTGAGTCTGAGACACAGTGAGACACAGAGAGTCTGAGACACAGAGAGACACAGAGTCTGAGACACAGAAAGACACAGCGAGTCTGAGACACAGTGAGACACAGCGAGTCTGAGACACAGAGAGACACAGCGAGTCTGAGACACAGAGAGACACAGAGAGTCTGAGACACAGTGAGACACAGTTTGTCTGAGACAGAGAGACACAGTGAGACACAGTGAGACAGAGAGTCTGAGACAGAGAGACACAGTGAGACACAGTGAGACAGAGAGTCTGAGACAGAGAGACACAGAGAGACACAGTGAGACACAGTGAGTCTGAGACACAGTGAGACACAGAGAGTCTGAGACAGAGAGACACAGTGAGACACAGTGAGACACAGTGGGACACAGTGAGTCTGAGACACAGTGAGACACAGAGAGTCTGAGACAGAGAGACACAGTGAGACACAGTGAGACACAGTGAGACACAGTGAGTCTGAGACACAGTGAGACACAGTGAGTCTGAGACACAGTGAGACACAGAGAGTCTGAGACAGAGAGACACAGTGAGACACAGTGAGACACAGTGAGTCTGAGACACAGTGAGACACAGAGAGTCTGAGACAGAGAGACACAGTGAGACACAGTGAGACACAGTGAGACACAGTGAGTCTGAGACACAGTGAGACACAGTGAGTCTGAGACACAGTGAGACACAGAGAGTCTGAGACAGAGAGACACAGTGAGACACAGTGAGACACAGTGAGACACAGTGAGTCTGAGACACAGTGAGACACAGAGAGTCTGAGACAGAGAGACACAGTGAGACACAGTGAGACACAGTGAGTCTGAGACACAGAGTCTGAGACACAGAGAGACACAGCGAGTCTGAGACACAGTGAGACACAGAGTCTGAGACACAGAGAGACACAGCGAGTCTGAGACAGAGAGACACAGTGAGACACAGTGAGACACAGTGAGTCTGAGACACAGAGTCTGAGACACAGAGAGACACAGCGAGTCTGAGACACAGTGAGACACAGAGTCTGAGACACAGAGAGACACAGCGAGTCTGAGACAGGGAGACGCAGAGACACAAAAACAAAGACCCCCCCCCCCCGCATTGAGAATCAGCGCCGATTAACTTCGTGAAGGCTTCTGACACGTGACGGGCGGTCCCACACAGCAGCGGCAGATACACAACAACAACAAATAGCGCCGATGAGAGGCGGCAAACAAGGAGTGGGGGTGGAGTGGGCAGCCCCCGCTCCCGGCCGCCTTTGTCTTTCCACCCCCCCCTCCCCATCGCCACTGACCGCATCTCGCCGCGTGGAGAACGCGGGCAGCCATCGCTCCGTGACCTTTGTGTGACCCCAAGCCTCCACCACTTCCGGGAGAAGGGAAGAAGGGGCGGGGCTTGTATGACGGTGGGCGGGGCTTGTGTGGCGGTGGGCGGGGCTTGTATGACGGTGGGCGGGGCTTGTATGGAGGTGGGCGGGGCTTGTATGACGGTGGGCGGGGCTTGTATGACGGTGGGCGGGGCTTGTGTGACGGTGGGCGGGGCTTATATGACGGTGGGCGGGGCTTGTATGGCGCTGCTGCTCTGCTGTAGTACACACAGCTGCGGCTGCTTCGTGTATGACTCCTGCAACTGCAGTTGGGTCGGCTGCAGCTGCTACAGCAGCTACAACAACAACAACAGCAGCTACAACAACAACAACAGCAGCTGCAGCAACAGCAGCAGCTGCAGCAGCAACAGCAGCAGCTGCAGCAACAGCAGCAGCAGCAACAACAACAGCAGCAGCAGCTGCAGCAACAATAGCAGCTGCAGCAACAACAGCAGCAGCAGCTGCAGCAACAACAGCAGCTGCTGCAGCAGCAACAACAGCAGCAGCTACAACAACAACAACAGCAGCTGCAACAACAGCAGCAGCAGCTGCAGCAACACCAGCAGCTGCAGCAACAACAGCAGCAGCTGCAGCAACAACAGCAGCAGCTGCAGCAACAACAGCAGCAGCTGCAGCAGCAACAGCAGCAGCAGCTGCAGCAACAACAGCAGCTGCAGCAACAACAGCTGCAGCAACAGCAGCAGCTGCAGCAGCAACAGCTGCAGCAACAACAGCAGCAACAGCAGCAGCAGCTGCAGAAACAACAGCAGCTGCAGCAACAACAGCTGCAGCAACAGCAGCAGCTGCAGCAGCAACAGCAGCAGCTGCAGCAACACCAGCAGCTGCAGCAACAACAGCAGCAGCTGCAGCAACAACAGCAGCAGCTGCAGCAACAACAACAGCAGCAGCTGCAGCAACAGCAGCAGCAGCTGCAGAAACAACAGCAGCTGCAGCAACAACAGCTGCAGCAACAGCAGCAGCTGCAGCAACAACAGCAGCAGCTGCAGCAACAACAGCAGCTGCAGCAACAACAGCAGCGGCAGCAGCAGCAACAGCAGCAGCTGCAGCAGCAACAGCAGCAGCTGCAGCAACAACAGCAGTAGCTGCAGCAGCAACAGCAGCAGCTGCAGCAGCAACAGCAGCAGCTGCAGCAACAGCAACAACAGCAGCAGCTGCAGCAACAACAGCAGCAGCTGCAGCAACAACAGCAGCTGCAGCAGCAGCAGCTGCAGCAACAGCAGCAGCTGCAGCAACAACAGCAGCTGCAGCAACAACAGCAGCAGCTGCAGCAACAACAGCAGCAGCTGCAGCAACAGCAGCAGCTGCAGCAACAACAGCAGCAGCAGCAACAACAGCAGCAGCTGCAGCAACAACAGCAGCAGCTGCAGCAACAACAGCAGCAGCTGCAGCAACAACAGCAGCAGCTGCAGCAACAACAGCAGCAGCTGCAGCAACAACAGCAGCAGCTGCAGCAACAACAGCAGCAGCTGCAACAACAACAGCAGCAGCAGCTGCAGCAACAACAGCAGCTGCAGCAACAACAGCAGCAGCTGCAACAACAACAGCTGCAGCAGCTGCAGCAACAACAGCAGCAGCTGCAGCAACAACAGCAGCTGCAGCAACAACAGCAGCAGCTGCAACAACAACAGCAGCTGCAACAACAACAGCAGCAAGATGGCGGCGGCGTGTGCGGCCACGTGTGCGTTGTGCTGCATGGGTGTGGGCTGTGCGTGAGAGTGGGTGAGGGTGAGCTGCGTGTGAGTGAGCTGTGTGTGTGTTTAAATTTAGTGTTTTAAAGATGTCAATTCACCTGCTGTGTATCTTACTACTGTCCCTCCCGGCCATATCTAGTGCCACACTCAACTCTACAAATGGCTACCCGCGTTACTTCGCGTCAATACTTATTGCTAAATTTGCAACTACACCTGCTAATGAAACAACTTATAGACACTTCTACACTCCATCATTATATCCTTTTAAACCCTATCTTTGTCCCATTACTTCACCAGCACTCCTTCCAAACTTCATTCTGCTCTTAAAAATAACACCATCTGCGAGCTGCTGCTATTCGTCCAAGGTTCGTCGCTCTTCATCCTTTCACAGAAAATACCTGTGCAAACTATTAATTCTACTTTTCTTATTTCTGGGTGGTATTGAGCTTCATCCTGGACCAAATGTAAAGAACTCATATAATTCTGTAGATTTTTCTGGCAGAAAAGGTGTTGGTGTTCTACATGTCAACATCAGAGGGCTTTTGATTAAATTAAGTCAACTAAAACTAGAAGTAGCAAATCTTGACCCGGACATATTTTGCCTAACAGAAACATTTCTCACTCCTGCCGTCAATGACTTGCAGATTACGATTGACAACTACAATCTTTTCCGGCTTGACCGAGGATCTAAAGGAGGTGGAATTGCCATCTATGTTCGTAATACTATTGCATGTTCACCAGCTCACTCCTTGTTTAAAAAATGTTGCTTTGAAGGTCTGGCTCTCAGAATAACTCTCCCTAATAATCAACACATATTGGTAGTGTGCTGCTATAGACCGCCTAGTGGGAAGGATGTTGAAGCTGCATCTGCACTGAGAGAGCTTCTTGGGGGCCTCCCTAAAGGTGAAATAGTTTTAGTGGGTGATCTAAATTGGAATTGGCTAAACCCGCCGGCCGTGGCCACAAATTTTGCAGATGAATTTAACCTGTTTCAATTAATAAATGTCCCCACAAGACCCAACCTAAAAAATCCGGGACAGTCATCTCTGCTTGACGTCCTATTGACAAATGCCCCTCACAATTTCGCACTGACTGGTGTTCTAGGTAATAACCTTAGTGATCACTCCTTCATTTTTGGGGTGAGATCATCAGCCAGACCCAAAGCCCCCCCTAAATTGGTTGAGAAGCACTCCATGAGACACTTCAGCACTCAGGCATTTACTAATGATGTGCTTCACTCGGATATTGACAAGGTCTGTGATATTCCAAACCTGACTACGGCTTGGGAGACCTTCAGGTACACGTTTCTCCAAATTCTTAACAAACATGCTCCGTTGGTTAAATTTAAAACTAAAGGCAACCGTCCACCATGGTTTGATCCTGTGATTACAAAGCTCATGAAAACTAGGGACAAGGCTTGGGCATGTGCTCAGAAAAGTAATTTGGTCAATGACTGGCTAGAATACAGGATTTTAAGGAATAGATGCGTCAAAAAAATACGGCATGCAAAAAATAACTACTTCTCTTCCACTCTCCTTGAATCTCATGGAAATGCCAGGATTTTCTGGAAAACAATCAAATGTATCGAAAAGGCATCCAAAACAGATCATCTGCCCGTTCAGCTTAACCGAAATGGGGAATATTTTTCAGATCCCCAAAAAATAGTTGACAATTTTAACCTTCATTTTTCTGAAGCTGGTACCCTATTTGATAATGTATTGGGAGTCACCCCTGCTCATGCAAATTCCTACACTCCTGTCCAAACATTAAGCGAATTTAGTTTTCAGCCAATCCACGAAAGTAATGTTCTGAAACAACTGTCCTACCTCAAAGGGTCCTCCTCTACCGGAGCAGATAGTATTCCCGTCTTTGCTCTACTAACTGTTGGTCATCTAATATACAAACCTATAGCCCATATTTTCAACCTGTCCATCAAAGAAGCATCAGTTCCTCTAGAATGGAAACATTCCTATGTTCGTCCACTTCACAAAGGGGGCCCTAAAGATGATCCAAATAACTACCGACCTATCTCAATTTTGTCCCCGTTGATGAAAATTTTTGAAAAATTATTGACCTGCCAAATTAGCAGTTTCCTGTCCGCCAACAATCTATTACATCTAAAACAATCTGGGTTCCGAAAAAAATACAGCACCACATCTGCTGCATTAGACTCTCTGAATCACATTTACAGTAGCCTTGATAATAAGCAGTACTGCGCCTGTCTTTTTCTTGACTTGTCCAAAGCTTTTGATACAGTAGACAACAACATCCTGCTTAGTCAAATAAGTTGCCTCGGTTTTTCCGAAAACACAGTAAAATGGTTAAAAAATTACCTCTTTTCTCGCACCCAAACTGTATTCACAGATGGTTGGAGGTCAAACAGTGTTAAGATAACAAAAGGGGTTCCACAGGGTTCCATTCTCGGCCCCCTCTTGTTCTCTCTTTATGTAAATGACTTGGGCACTGAACTGGATTATTCCAGGGTAAATCTTTTTGCAGATGACACGGTACTAATTACTGCTGGCCGCTCTCCGGATGACGTGATTGCTAAGCTCCAGAGTGATTTCAACAAACTACAACATCAGCTAGTTGCTCTTAAACTAGTCCTAAATCCTGCCAAAACCAAGGTGCTATGCTTCTCACCAGGACTAAAGCGGGAAGTTATTTTTCCCCAATTACATACCTTAAATAATGATCAAATAGAGCAAGTCAAGATCTATAAGTATCTTGGGGTCATCCTGGATTCAAAACTGAATTTTGAAGATCACATTGATTATATTGGGAAAAAGACAAAAATTAAAATTGGTTTTCTATATCGACACAAGCACTGCTTCCCTCCTATGTTCCGTTTGGAATTGATTAAAGCTACCGTACTGCCTCTACTTGATTACTGTGACATTGTGTATAAATCAGCCCCAAGTACTGTACTGAAGAAGCTTGACTCAATGTATCACTCGGCCTTAAGATTTGCATTGAACTGCCCATATAGGACTCACCACTGTGATCTCTACATTGGGTCAAACTTAACATCTCTGAATGTTCGACGGCTTGTGCACCAGATCTTATTTATTCATGATGTACTTGCAAAAAAATCTGCAGATTACCTGCTGGATCTCGTCTCTGTTTCAAAGAACAAATTTGACCTAAGGTCTACACTCATTTACCAGCTTAATATTCCCTATTGCCGTACATATACTGGAGGAAGGGCCTTTGCTATTGATGCCCCCAGGGTCTGGAATGCTGTTGCAAATAAATTGAAACTTGAGTCACTACCTATGAGATCTTCACTCAAAACTGCTTTAGAGGAGTTGTACACCCCTAGCTGCCAGTGCTATTCAGTGACCTAAAATAAAATGTTTCGCTCCGGATGATCGCTACAAAGTATGACCTGTGTTTTGATTTAGTGTGCTGATCTTAAAGGTGCATTGAAAAATTACAATACTCCGATTGATGCTCCTGCTGTTGTGGAGTGACTCATGCAGCCAGCTATGGCTGCAGGGTTTTGGTAGTACATGTTGTTTATGCCATTTATTGTGAAAATTCCGTCAGTTCCTATGATTGCTTTTTCATTGCCTTCATGGCTTTATTTTGGTGATTTCGAAAAGTGTATTGGTTTAGCCATGTTTGTGTTGTTGTAGTACAGAGTTAGACTGATGGCCTTAATCTAAGTTGTCTTGTGGTTGTTGTTGTTGTTTGACTTGCATCCCACTGGCATTTTTGCACACAGCGTTGGTGTACGGTGTTTTTTCTGCAATATTTTTGCTGTCTTTTCTTGGATTTTCTGTTTGCACTTAGTCACATATTCACTTTAAGATGTTTTTTTGTTCATGTTTTTGTTTTTTGTTTGTTGTGGTTGCACCCGATTCAAGAGCTGAATGGCTCACAGGGCTATACCTAATAAATGAACTTGAACTTGAACTTGTATGACGGTGGGCGGGGCTTGTATGGCGGTGGGCGGGGCCTGGCGGGCACGAGGCGCCACACGGGATGAGTGAGTTGATGATGGCCGGCAGATGCACCGCCTCGATGTTGGATTCACGACGCCCGGCCGCCTTTGTCTCCCCAGTGGCGATGTTCACACACCGCAGCAGTTACTCGTTTGAGGCTGAGTCGACCTAGGGGAGACCCAGGAGCGGTTAAAATAATCGTCACCGGTGGTGGCCATGAGCGGGAATCGAACTCGCGGCGTCGGGTTCGTAGCGCAGCGCGCTACCCGCTACACCACCACTCCCCACACACACACAGTGCGCTAACCACTGCACCACCACTCCCCACACACACACAGTGCGCTAACCACTGCACCACCACTCCCCACACACACACAGCGCGCTAACCACTGCACCACCACTCCCCACACACACACAGTGCGCTAACCACTGCACCACCACTCCCCACACACACACACAGTGCGCTAACCACTGCACCACCACTCCCCACACACACACAGTGCGCTAACCACTGCACCACCACTCCCCACACACACACAGCGCGCTACCCGCTACACTAACAACAGCAGCTGCAGCAGCAACAGCAGCAGCTGCAGCTGCAGAAACAACAGCAGCAGCTGCAGCAACAACAGCAGCTGCAGCAACAGCAGCAGCTGCAGCAACAACAGCAGCAGCTGCAGCAACAACAGCAGCAGCTGCAGCAACAACAGCAGCAGCTGCAGCAGCAACAGCAGCAGCTGCAGCAACAGCAGCAGCTTCTGCAGCAACAACAGCAGCAGCTGCAGCAACAACAGCAGCAGCTGCAGCAACAACAGCAGCAGCTGCAGCAGCAGCAGCAGCAACAGCAGCAGCTGCAGCAACAACAGCAGCAGCTGCAGCAACAACAGCAGCAGCTGCAGCAACAACAGCAGCAGCTGCAGCAACAACAGCAGCAGCTGCAGCAACAACAGCAGCAGCTGCAGCAACAACAGCAGCTGCAGCAACAACAGCAGCAGCTGCAGCAGCAACAGCAGCAGCTGCAACAACAACAGCAGCAGCAGCTGCAGCAACAACAGCAGCTGCAACAACAACAGCAGCTGCAACAACAACAGCAGCTGCAACAACAACAGCAGCAAGATGGCGGCGGCGTGTGCGGCCACGTGTGCGTTGTGCTGCATGGGTGTGGGCTGTGCGTGAGAGTGGGTGAGGGTGAGCTGCGTGTGAGTGAGCTGTGTGTGTGTTTAAATTTAGTGTTTTAAAGATGTCAATTCACCTGCTGTGTATCTTACTACTGTCCCTCCCGGCCATATCTAGTGCCACACTCAACTCTACAAATGGCTACCCGCGTTACTTTGCGTCAATACTTATTGCTAAATTTGCAACTACACCTGCTAATGAAACAACTTATAGACACTTCTACACTCCATCATTATATCCTTTTAAACCCTATCTTTGTCCCATTACTTCACCAGCACTCCTTCCAAACTTCATTCTGCTCTTAAAAATAACACCATCTGCGAGCTGCTGCTATTCGTCCAAGGTTCGTCGCTCTTCATCCTTTCACAGAAAATACCTGTGCAAACTATTAATTCTACTTTTCTTATTTCTGGGTGGTATTGAGCTTCATCCTGGACCAAATGTAAAGAACTCATATAATTCTGTAGATTTTTCTGGCAGAAAAGGTGTTGGTGTTCTACATGTCAACATCAGAGGGCTTTTGATTAAATTAAGTCAACTAAAACTAGAAGTAGCAAATCTTGACCCGGACATATTTTGCCTAACAGAAACATTTCTCACTCCTGCCGTCAATGACTTGCAGATTACGATTGACAACTACAATCTTTTCCGGCTTGACCGAGGATCTAAAGGAGGTGGAATTGCCATCTATGTTCGTAATACTATTGCATGTTCACCAGCTCACTCCTTGTTTAAAAAATGTTGCTTTGAAGGTCTGGCTCTCAGAATAACTCTCCCTAATAATCAACACATATTGGTAGTGTGCTGCTATAGACCGCCTAGTGGGAAGGATGTTGAAGCTGCATCTGCACTGAGAGAGCTTCTTGGGGGCCTCCCTAAAGGTGAAATAGTTTTAGTGGGTGATCTAAATTGGAATTGGCTAAACCCGCCGGCCGTGGCCACAAATTTTGCAGATGAATTTAACCTGTTTCAATTAATAAATGTCCCCACAAGACCCAACCTAAAAAATCCGGGACAGTCATCTCTGCTTGACGTCCTATTGACAAATGCCCCTCACAATTTCGCACTGACTGGTGTTCTAGGTAATAACCTTAGTGATCACTCCTTCATTTTTGGGGTGAGATCATCAGCCAGACCCAAAGCCCCCCCTAAATTGGTTGAGAAGCACTCCATGAGACACTTCAGCACTCAGGCATTTACTAATGATGTGCTTCACTCGGATATTGACAAGGTCTGTGATATTCCAAACCTGACTACGGCTTGGGAGACCTTCAGGTACACGTTTCTCCAAATTCTTAACAAACATGCTCCGTTGGTTAAATTTAAAACTAAAGGCAACCGTCCACCATGGTTTGATCCTGTGACTACAAAGCTCATGAAAACTAGGGACAAGGCTTGGGCATGTGCTCAGAAAAGTAATTTGGTCAATGACTGGCTAGAATACAGGATTTTAAGGAATAGATGCGTCAAAAAAATACGGCATGCAAAAAATAACTACTTCTCTTCCACTCTCCTTGAATCTCATGGAAATGCCAGGATTTTCTGGAAAACAATCAAATGTATCGAAAAGGCATCCAAAACAGATCATCTGCCCGTTCAGCTTAACCGAAATGGGGAATATTTTTCAGATCCCCAAAAAATAGTTGACAATTTTAACCTTCATTTTTCTGAAGCTGGTACCCTATTTGATAATGTATTGGGAGTCACCCCTGCTCATGCAAATTCCTACACTCCTGTCCAAACATTAAGCGAATTTAGTTTTCAGCCAATCCACGAAAGTAATGTTCTGAAACAACTGTCCTACCTCAAAGGGTCCTCCTCTACCGGAGCAGATAGTATTCCCGTCTTTGCTCTACTAACTGTTGGTCACCTAATATACAAACCTATAGCCCATATTTTCAACCTGTCCATCAAAGAAGCATCAGTTCCTCTAGAATGGAAACATTCCTATGTTCGTCCACTTCACAAAGGGGGCCCTAAAGATGATCCAAATAACTACCGACCTATCTCAATTTTGTCCCCGTTGATGAAAATTTTTGAAAAATTATTGACCTATCAAATTAGCAGTTTCCTGTCCACCAACAATCTATTACATCTAAAACAATCTGGGTTCCGAAAAAAATACAGCACCACATCTGCTGCATTAGACTCTCTGAATCACATTTACAGTAGCCTTGATAATAAGCAGTACTGCGCCTGTCTTTTTCTTGACTTGTCCAAAGCTTTTGATACAGTAGACCACAACATTCTGCTTAGTAAAATAAGTTGCCTCGGTTTTTCCGAAAACACAGTAAAATGGTTAAAAAATTACCTCTTTTCTCGCACCCAAACTGTATTCACAGATGGTTGGAGGTCAAACAGTGTTAAGATAACAAAAGGGGTTCCACAGGGTTCCATTCTCGGCCCCCTCTTGTTCTCTCTTTATGTAAATGACTTGGGCACTGAACTGGATTATTCCAGGGTAAATCTTTTTGCAGATGACACGGTACTAATTACTGCTGGCCGCTCTCCGGATGACGTGATTGCTAAGCTCCAGAGTGATTTCAACAAACTACAACATCAGCTAGTTGCTCTTAAACTAGTCCTAAATCCTGCCAAAACCAAGGTGCTATGCTTCTCACCAGGACTAAAGCGGGAAGTTATTTTTCCCCAATTACATACCTTAAATAATGATCAAATAGAGCAAGTCAAGATCTATAAGTATCTTGGGGTCATCCTGGATTCAAAACTGAATTTTGAAGATCACATTGATTATATTGGGAAAAAGACAAAAATTAAAATTGGTTTTCTATATCGACACAAGCACTGCTTCCCTCCTATGTTCCGTTTGGAATTGATTAAAGCTACCGTACTGCCTCTACTTGATTACTGTGACATTGTGTATAAATCAGCCCCAAGTACTGTACTGAAGAAGCTTGACTCAATGTATCACTCGGCCTTAAGATTTGCATTGAACTGCCCATATAGGACTCACCACTGTGATCTCTACATTGGGTCAAACTTAACATCTCTGAATGTTCGACGGCTTGTGCACCAGATCTTATTTATTCATGATGTACTTGCAAAAAAATCTGCAGATTACCTGCTGGATCTCGTCTCTGTTTCAAAGAACAAATTTGACCTAAGGTCTACACTCATTTACCAGCTTAATATTCCCTATTGCCGTACATATACTGGAGGAAGGGCCTTTGCTATTGATGCCCCCAGGGTCTGGAATGCTGTTGCAAATAAATTGAAACTTGAGTCACTACCTATGAGATCTTCACTCAAAACTGCTTTAGAGGAGTTGTACACCCCTAGCTGCCAGTGCTATTCAGTGACCTAAAATAAAATGTTTCGCTCCGGATGATCGCTACAAAGTATGACCTGTGTTTTGATTTAGTGTGCTGATCTTAAAGGTGCATTGAAAAATTACAATACTCCGATTGATGCTCCTGCTGTTGTGGAGTGACTCATGCAGCCAGCTATGGCTGCAGGGTTTTGGTAGTACATGTTGTTTATGCCATTTATTGTGAAAATTCCGTCAGTTCCTATGATTGCTTTTTCATTGCCTTCATGGCTTTATTTTGGTGATTTCGAAAAGTGTATTGGTTTAGCCATGTTTGTGTTGTTGTAGTACAGAGTTAGACTGATGGCCTTAATCTAAGTTGTCTTGTGGTTGTTGTTGTTGTTTGACTTGCATCCCACTGGGATTTTTGCACACAGCGTTGGTGTACGGTGTTTTTTCTGCAATATTTTTGCTGTCTTTTCTTGGATTTTCTGTTTGCACTTAGTCACATATTCACTTTAAGATGTTTTTTTGTTCATGTTTTTGTTTTTTGTTTGTTGCGGTTGCACCCGATTCAAGAGCTGAATGGCTCACAGGGCTATACCTAATAAATGAACTTGAACTTGAACTACAACACGTGACGCTTCCACACGCGCGGGTCACGTGACAAATGTGACGTCACAGATCACTTGCCGTGCAAAAAATCTCTGCATTATTGAGCTCCCCCCCCCCCAAAAAACACAAAAGTGTATTTTTATTAGTTTTGCATGGTGTACAGTCTGGAAAGTACCCACATGGCAAATTAAAAGTTTGTTGCATGTCGGGACGTACGATAAACATTTTGAACAAGCACACATAATCACCATCTTCTTGGTTCTTTCGGTAAAGTCACGTAGAAGGGAAGTAATAAAATAATAAAAATAAAACATAATAAAACAATTCTCACGACGTTTCGGCCACAACGCAAGCAGCCGTCCTCAGGTGAAAACCAGGTCCGTCGAGGCGACAGAGTCTGAATGAAACAGCACACGGGCTTGGAGCATATATATAAGCTGGGCGCATTGACAAAGGAATTTGCATATCAACAGGAATTTAGCATATTTATGGGAAATGCAGGAATGTAATTAGTACTGCATATGCATGTGCATTATGCAGGATTAACAGCATCAAAGGGAGCTGCAGCTGCTGCTGCAGCTCCCTTTGATGCAGCTCCCTTTGATGCTGTTAATCCTGCATAATGCACATGCATATGCAGTACTAATTACATTCCTGCATTTCCCATAAATATGCTAAATTCCTGTTGATATGCAAATTCCTTTGTCAATGCGCCCAGCTTATATATATGCTCCAAGCCCGTGTGCTGTTTCATTCAGACTCTGTCGCCTCGACGGACCTGGTTTTCACCTGAGGACGGCTGCTTGCGTTGTGGCCGAAACGTCGTGAGAATTGTTTTATTATGTTTTATTTTTATTATTTTATTACTTCCCTTCTACGTGACTTTACCGAAAGAACCAAGAAGATGAATCCCTGCAGTCACGAAAGCTTTAAATCGAAACATAATCACCACTTTGCCTTTTCTATGTATGGAGATGTGGAGATAGCCCTGTGAGCCACGCGGCTCTTGACTCGGGTGCAACCGCAACAAACAAAAGCACGAACAAAACACATCTGTAAGTGACCATGCACAACATAGCAATCCAGGAAAAAACAGCTAAATCTTCCAGCAAAAGCACCGCATTTCAACGCTGTGTGCAAAACTCCCAGTGGGATGCCCTCCCCCCTAAGTGCGTGACGTCATTTATGGACGGCCCCTTTACAGCAATTGATTCTCATGATTCGGAAGGGCGGGGGGCGTGGATCAGTTCAGTGGGGGGCGCGTGGTCACCGCGTGTAGGCGGGGCTAGTTTGAGTACGTCATCACGTCGACCGCGCGTTAGCGAGTGACGTCATCACGTCGACCGCGCGTTAGCGAGTGACGTCATCACGTCGACCGCGCGTTAGCGAGTGACGTCATCACGTCGACCGCGCGTCAGCGAGTGACGTCATCACGTCGACCGCGCGTTAGCGAGTGACGTCATCACGTCGACCGCGCGTTAGTGGGAGTGACGTCACCTTGATTAGCGAGTGACGTCATCGCGTCGATCGAGCCTGACCGGGGAGTGACGTCATCCCACCGTACAGCGTTCGCGAGAGTGACGTCATCGCGTATAGTAATGTGCGTCATCACGGCAATCGTGCGCGGGCACGAGTGACGTCATAACGTCGAATGTGCGCGAGCCGCAGTGACGTCACCGCTGTCATTGAGGAGTCTCATTCAAACTTGTGGAAAGTGGTTTTATTTTTGTTTATAAACTTCAACATTCCGTGTTTTTTTTGTTTATCGCGCAGATCTCTTGAGTTGTAATTACCGTCGGCAATGTTTCTCTTGCTCGTTTGAAGTAACAAACGGTCGTTATCGCCCCGACGTCTTCGTTGTGGTCCGAGATGTCGACTCGCCTCGTAGGCCGAGGCTTTTTTCGGTTTTCCTGGCGGCGCCGCGGGGCCGAGGGGACGAGGCGCGGTCAGGCGACCACCGGTAGCGCGGGAGAGGTGAGACCGCGTCCCGCTCGTGTCTCCCCCCCCCCTCTCGTGTCTCGCCCCCCCTCGCCCCCCCCGTGTCTCCCCCCCTTATTAAAAACGCGCTTTAATGAAATGTACCGCACTAGTAATGGAATAACTCCATGACTCCAGGAAGTGGCCCAGAAGCTTGCCATCACGTAAGGGGCCGTGGCCAATTACAGCCAACGTGAGTTGAGCGTGGACAATTAGACCCAAACCGAAACATAACATATAAGAAAAGAATGTTAAAAAATATATATTTTATGATAGAATATAATATTGTCATCAGTATGACATAAGTATACAAAGTTTGCAGTCGATACCACATTGGGAAGTGGGTTAAAATTGAGTTGCAAGATTTGAGGCTACGACAACAACAGACAGAGTGAGTTAAATGAAAGCTGCAGTAGTGACAGAGTTGTAGTTGAGAGATGAAGGAGATAACAACTCACCACCGCCGCTGCTGCTGCGTGTCTCTGTGTCTCCGTGTGTCTCCTCTTGCTGCGCAGCGCCGCGTCATCCTCTCGGGGGTGCAGCCCAGCGGGGTGCCTCACCTGGGGAATGTGTTTGGAGCCATGGGGACCTGGAGACAGCTGATGAGACACGGGGACACGCGCGGTGAGACACACAGAGTGAGACACACAGAATGAGACACGGGGTGAGACACACAGAGTGAGACACACAGAGTGAGACACGGGGTGAGACACACAGAGTGAGACACACAGAGTGAGACACGCGGGGGCACACGGGGTGAGACACGCAGAGTGAGACACAGGGGTGAGACACGGGGACACACGGGGTGAGACACACAGAGTGAGACACACCGGGTGAGACACGGGGACACACGGGGTGAGACACGGGGACACACGGGGTGAGACACGGGGACACACGGGGTGAGACACGGCGACACACGGGGTGAGATACACGCGGTGAGACACACAGGATGAGACACACGCGGTGAGACACACGCGGTGAGACACACAGAGTGAGACACACAGAGTGAGACACACAGGGTGAGACACGGTGTGAGACGCAGGGACACACATGGGGACATACAGGGTGGGACACGGGGATACACAGCATCTCTGTGTGAGTCTGCGGGTCTCTGTGTGAGTCTATAGGTCTCTGTGTGATTCTATGGGTATGTGTGAGTCTATGGGTCTCTGCGTGCATCTGTGGGTCTCACTGAGGCAATGCCTATAACTGTCTTCCCGTGTCTCCCCGGTGTCACCATGGCCCCCTGTGTGTCTCTGTGTCCCCCTGTGTATCCTTCCCCGTGTCTCTCTCTCCATGTCTCCATGTCTCTCTCTCTCCCCATGTATGACCAGTGTCCCCGTGTGTTTCCCTGTGTTCTTGTGTCTCCCCGTGTCTTCCCATGTCTCCCCGTGTCTCCCCGTGTCTCTCTGTATGTCCCCGTGTCCCCTGTGTGTCTCCGTGTCCCAGACTCGCTGTCGATGTTCTGTGTGGCCGACCTCCACGCGCTCACCGTGACCCCCGACCCCCGCTTGCTGTGGCGTCGCTGCCGCATCACGGCAGCCGCTCTGGTGGCCTGTGGGGTGGACCCAGCCCAGAGCGCCCTCTTCCTGCAGTCGCAGGTCACCTGGTCACCCGGTTACCCAGTTACCCAGCCAGTCACCCACTGACCCAGTCACCCAGCCAGTCACCCACTGACCCAGTCACCCAGCCAGTCACCCACTGACCCAGTCACCCAGCCAGTCACCCAGCCAGTCACCCAGTGACCCAGTCACCCAGCCAGTCACCCACTGACCCAGTCACCCAGCCAGTCACCCACTGACCCAGTCACCCAGCCAGTCACCCACTGACCCAGTCACCCAGCCAGTCACCCACTGACCCAGTCACCCAGCCAGTCACCCAGCCAGTCACCCAGTGACCCAGTCACCCAGCCAGTCACCCACTGACCCAGTCACCCAGCCAGTCACCCACTGACCCAGTCACCCAGCCAGTCACCCACTGACCCAGTCACCCAGCCAGTCACCCACTGACCCAGTCACCCACTGACCCAGTCACCCAGTGACCCAGTCACCCAGTCACCCAGCCAGTCACCCACTGACCCAGTCACCCAGCCAGTCACCCAGTTAGTCACCCACTGACCCAGTCACCCACTGACCCAGTCACCCAGTCACCCAGCCACCCAGTCACCCAGCCAGTCACTCACTGACCCAGTCACCCAGCCAGTCACTCACTGACCCAGTCACCCAGCCAGTCACCCAGGTAGTCACCCACTGACCCAGTCACCCAGCCAGTCACTCACTGACCCAGTCACCCTGTGACCCAGTCACCCAGTCACCCAGCCAGTCACCCACTGACCCAGTCACCCAGCCAGTCACCCATTGACTCAGTCACCCAGCCAGTCACCCACTGACCCAGTCACCCAGTGACCCAGTCACCCAGTCACCCAGCCAGTCACCCACTGACCCAGTCACCCAGCCAGTCACCCAGCCAGTCACCCAGTTAGTCACCCACTGACCCAGTCACCCACTGACCCAGTCACCCAGCCAGTCACTCACTGACCCAGTCACCTAGCCAGTCACTCACTGACCCAGTCACCCAGCCAGTCACCCAGTTAGTCACCCACTGACCCAGTCACCCAGCCAGTCACTCACTGACCCAGTCACCCAGCCAGTCACTCACTGACCCAGTCACCCAGCCAGTCACCCAGTTAGTCACCCACTGACCCAGTCACCCAGCCAGTCACTCACTGACCCAGTCACCCAGCCAGTCACCCAGTTAGTCACCCACTGACCCAGTCACCTAGCCAGTCACCCTGTGACCCAGTCATCCACTGACCCAGTCACCCAGTGACCCAGTCACCCAGCCAGTCACCCAATCACCCAGCCAGTCCACTGACCCAGTCACCCAGCCAGTCACCCAGCCAGTCACCCAGCCAGTCACCCACTGACCCAGTCACCCAGCCAGTCACCCAGTCAGTCACCCAAACAGTCACCCAGTCACCCAGCCAGTCACCCAGACAGTCACCCAGTCAGTCACCTAGTCAGTCACCCAGACAGTCACCCAGACAGTCACCCAGTCACCCACCGACCCAGTGACCCAGCCAGATAACGCAACCAGGATCTGTAGAGAGACTGCAGGAGGAGGAATCCGATGAGCTGTGAAGCTCTTTGTCAAGTCTGGCCACGAGGTGATCAGGTCCGCAATGGAAGGTTCTTCATCAACAGAACGATGATAATTATTCAGCTCGTTAGTGACCAATCGTGCCCAGAGATGGAGTTTTGGCTTAAATCCCTCCCCCTCTCCCTCCCCTTCTCCCTCACTCCCCGTGTCCCTGTGTCTCCATGTCTCCGTGTCTCCCTCTCCATGTCCCCCGTGTCTCCGTCCCTGTGTCTCTGTGTCTCCGTGTCTCCCTGTGTCCGTGTTCCCGTGTCTCCCTCCCCATGTCTCCATGTCTCCATGTCTCCTTCCCCGTGTCCCCGTGTCCCCCGTGTCCCCCGTGTCCCCGTGTCTCCCTTTCTCTGTGTCTCCGTGTCCCTGCTAGATCCCGGAGCACACGGAGTTGTCCTGGATCCTCGGCTGCCTCACAACCACAGCCAGACTCAGCCACCTGCACCAGTGGAAGGTGACGACACCTCGGGGTGACCCCTCAGGGTGACCCCTCAGTGACCCCTCAGTGACCCCTCAGGGTGACTCCTGGTGCCGCCGTGTGACGCGGTTGTTGTTGTTGTTGCCGGGACTACTTCCAGGAGAAGAGTCGGGGCCGGGCGGAGCTGGGCAGCCTGGGCCTCCTCACGTACCCCGTGCTGCAGGCGGCCGACATCCTCCTCTACAGGCAAAGAGTCCCGACGGAGAAAGAGGATCGGGATCGGTGTTTCGACTGTAGGAGGAGAAGGAGAAATCCGATTAGCTGTGGAGATCTTTGCCGCAGCTGTCCAGTGAAGGGGCATGGAGTCAGCAAATAACAACACGAAAAAAAAACAATGATAGGAGTCAAATAAAAATATAAAAAAACTTTTTTTTAAAACACGCTTTAATGAAATGTACCGTTCTAGTAATGGCAGAACTCCACGACTCCAGGAAGTGGCCCCGCAGCTTGCCACAGCGCAAGGGGCCGTGGTGATTTACAGCCAACGTGAGTTGAGCATGGACAATTAGACCCGTAAAAAAGATGGTTTAAAAATATATATATTTTTTTAATGATAGAATATAGTGTTGTCATCAGTATGCCACACCTATACCAAGTTTGCAGTCGATACCACATTGGGAAGACGGTTGAAATTGAGTTACAAGATTTGAGGCTACGACAACAGACCGAGTGAGTTAAATGAAAGCGTGTAATGATAATGGGATTCACCCTTTCTGGCAACTAAACAGGAGTTGTGTTAATATGTTCGAAAACACAAGATAGACACACACATCGTAAGGCATCAAGTCTGCGTCAGCCGTAGATTACCGGTGGGAAATAATACAAACAAACGTGCTCTGATAATGTAACTCTACAACAGGGATGCAAATTAGAGAAAAGGTTAGCAAGTCATTACAACTGGATATATAAATGAAGTATAGAAGTACGAATTGCATCGGTATATACATGCCCGCCGCTTAACACATCACTCGGAGACCCACAGACTCGCCACGCAGAGACTCACAGACTTATCACACAGAGACCCACAGACTCACCACGCAGAGACCCACAGACTCACTACACAGACACCGATAGACTCACCATACAGAGACCCACAGACTCACCGCAGAGACCCACAGACTCGCCACACAGAGACCCACAGACTCACCACACAGAGACCCACAGACTCACCACACAGAGACCCACAGACTCATCACACAGAGACCCACAGACTCACCACACAGAGACCCACAGACTCACCACACAGAGACCCACAGACTCGTCACATAGAGACCCACAGACTCACCACACAGAGACCCACAGACTCACCACACAGATACCCACAGACTCACCACACAGAGACTCACAGACTCACCACACAGAGACCCACAGACTCACCACACAGACCCACAGACTCACCACACAGAGACCCACAGACTCACCACACAGAGACCCATAGACTCACCACACAGAGACCCACAGACTCACCACACAGAGACCCACAGACTCATCACACAGAGACCCACAGACTCACCACACAGAGACCCACAGACTCGTCACACAGAGACTCACAGACTCACCACACAGAGACCCACAGACTCATCACGCAGAGAGACCCACAAACTCACCACACAGAGACCCACAGACTCATCACGCAGAGAGACCCACAGACTCACCACACAGAGACCCACAGACTCACCACACAGAGACTCACAGACTCATCACACAGAGACCCACAGACTCACCACACAGAGACCCACAGACTCACCACACAGAGACTCACAGACTCACCACACAGAGACCCACAGACTCATGACAGAGAGCCCCGTAGAGGCTGTGTCACCGCTGTTCTCCCCGCGTCTTCCCCACAGGGCCACACACGTCCCTGTGGGTGAGGACCAAGCCCAGCACCTTGAGTTGACACTCGACCTGGCCCGGGCGTTCAACCACCGCTACGGAAACTACTTCCCTCTGCCCCAAGCAGTGCTCAGTGAGAGATGCTGGGACACGGGGACACACGGACACTGGGACACGGAGACACGGGGACATGGGGACATGGAGACCCGGGGATATGGAGAAACGGAGACACGGGGATATGGACACACGTAGACACACGGAGACACGGGGACACGGGGCCACGGAGACACGGAGACACGGGGACACGGAGACACGGGGACAGGGAGACACGGAGACACGGGGTTACGGAGACACGGGGACACGGAGACACGGGGACACGGGGACACGGAGACACGGGGTTACAGAGACACGGAGACACGGAGACACGGGGACACGGGGACACAGAGACACGGAGACACGGGGTTACGGAGACACGAGGATCTGGGGGCACGGGGATATGGAGAAACAGGGGCACAGACACACGGGAACACGGAGACACGGAGACACGGGGATAAAGATATGGCTACACGAAGATACAGAGATACAGGGAAAGGGAGATATGGGAACTTGGAGACACGAGAGAGACATGGGGACATGGGTTAGCCTCCCATTGTGTCTGTACCAGATGGATATGCCTCTGGTAGAGCCATGGGTAGTTTGTTCAACTAAGGGGTCACAATGTCTGTTTCATGGTGCAGCAGGCAGAGACATCCCTGGGGTACCTCTAGGTACGCGTGAGATAGCTCCTGGCCATCATGAAGGTTCTCAATGATCGTGAGCAGAGTCAGGGACCGTGAAAGCACCAAGAACAACCCAGAGCCCAGGCCTACTGATGGTATCATAGGCCTTGACCAGGTCAATAAAGCAGAGATGTAGGTCCTGTGGAAATTCCCTACAGCTCTGCTGTAGCAGGCGGATAGAGGATATGGCGTCTGTGTAGGACCAACATTGCATCCCTCCACCGATGTTCATCTTTAACAGCCACCACCAGCACCACTCCTCCCCTCCTGTTGAAGGGGAGGCGAGCCCACAGCAGCCTGAGACTCACAGCTTCCCACACCTCACCGCCACGCTCCCACGCCCCCTTCATTATTGTGTTCAGAAGCAGACCCCCACTCCCAGTTGTTTGGCAGTTTTCTACCCCAAGTAGCGGACTGTCTACCCCTCATGAAGCCAGGACCAGTCCACCGGATCTCTTGAATATCACAGATCCTCCGTCCAGCTGCACGACAGAGGAGTGGCAGCCTCTCCCCCGAAGTTGCGTTCGAGAATTCCACGTGGCCCATCGCAGTGCCTTGTGGACGTTCTGGAGGAACCCCGGGAGCACACGGGTTCAATCTCCTGGCTCCGCCAAATGAGGTTTGGACAGGGGATGTCATGGACGCCTGTACCCCCGTGGTCTCCAGCACGCGCTTAGTTAGATACTAACGTGGTTTTGTGGTCAATTAATTGAAAGTGGAGGGACCAGCAGCCCCTCGCACTCTCCCAGGGGCCCCACGGCAGCTGCGGGTGCCATGAGGTGAAAGCCTTCCTCAAAAGAACTTGCTCAGTCACCACAGCGTTACCAACAGGCAACAACCACCATCACCACTACAGTCACCACCACCACCACCATCACAGCGTTACCGACAGACAACCACCATCACCACCACCACCACAGTCACCATCACCACCATCACCACCACAGCGTTACCGACAGACAACCACCATCACCACCACAGTCACCATCACCACCACCATCACAGCTTTACCGACAGACAACCACCATCACCACCACCACCACAGTCTCCATCACCACCATCACAGCGTTACCGACAGACAACCACCATCACCACCACCACCATCACCACCACAGCGTTACCGACAGACAATCACCATCACCACCACAGCGTTACCGACAGACAACCACCATCACCACCACCATCACCACCACAGCGTTACCGACAGACAACCACCATCACCACCACAGCGTTACCGACAGACAACCACCATCACCACCACCACAGTCACCACCACCACCATCACCACCACAGCGTTACCGACAGACAACCACCATCACCACCACCACAGTCACCACCACCACCATCACCACCACAGCGTTACCGACAGACAACCACCATCACCACAGTCACCACAGCGTTACCAACAGGCAACAATCGAGGAGGTGGGGGTTGTTTTTTCCAGACAACGACCAGAGACACATACACGTGTACATTCACACACATCTACAGAGATACTTAATTTGGAGCTTCTACAGAGATCCCCAATGTAGCATTAACAAACTGTCAGGGCAAGTGTTGGTAGTGACTACCTATGAAGCCGGCACAGCACACGGGTTGGGTGGCCAGCACCACGCCCGACCGCCTTTGTCTCCCCAGCGGCGATGTTTACTACACACTGCACCAGGTACTAATTAGAGGCTGAGTCGACCTAGGGGAGGCCCAGAACCGGTTCAAATAATCGTTACCGGTATAGGTGGCAGTGAGCGGGAATCGAACTCGGATGGCCGGGTTTGTAGCGCAGCGCTAACCGCTGCGCCACCACTCCCCTCTCCCCCATCCACCCCCACCCCTCTCCCCCATCCACCCCCACCCCTCTCCCCTCTCCCCCATCCACCCCCACCCCTCTCCCCTCTCCCCCATCCACCCCCACCCCTCTCCCCCATCCACTCCTCCCCTCTCCCCATCCACTCCTCCCCCTCTCCCCCATCCACCCCCACCCCTCTCCCCTCTCCCCCATCCACCCCCACCCCTCTCCCCATCCTCCCCTCCCCTCTCCCCCATCCACCCCTCTCCCCCATCCACCCCCACCCCTCTCCCCCATCCACCCCCACCCCTCTCCCCTCTCCCCCATCCACCCCCACCACTCCCCTCTCCCCCATCCACCCCCTCCCCTCTCTCCGTCTTCTCTTCAGGCGACTTCCCTCGAATCCGTTCCCTGCAGGACCCCTCGTCCAAAATGAGCAAATCGCAGCTCCCAACCTCCTCCACCACCTCCACCACCTCCACCACCTCCTCCTCGTCGCCGTCCCCAGTGGGGCGTCCTGGCCGCCGCGTCTCCCTGGGCTCCGTGCTGCTCTCCGACTCGGACGCGGCCGTGCGCCTCAAGCTGCGTCGCGCCGTCACCGACTCGCTGCCGGGCGTCTCCTACGAGCCGGCGACGCGCCCCGGCGTCTCCAACCTGCTGGCGCTGCACGCGGCCGCCCTGGGCCTGCGCCACCCCGAGCTGGTGCCGGGGGGCGGCGCCGCCGCCACGCCGCGGGGGTACAAGGAGGAGCTCGCCGAGGACCTGCTCCGCCTCGTGGTGAGGCCGCTCCGCTCGCGATTCCTCCGCCTCATGGCCGGGGAGAGCGTGCCCCCGCTGGACGGAGGTGAGCGGGTGGGTGGGCGGTGGGTAAGGGGATGGGTGAATGAGTGGGTGGGTTAAGGGATGGGGGGTTGACTGAGTGGGTGAGTAAGTGAGTGGGTGAGTGGGTGGATGGGTGGGTGGGTAAGGGGATGGGTGGGTGGGTGAATGAGTGGGTGGGTGAGTGAGTGGGTGAGTGGGTGGGTAAGGGGATGATGGGTGGGTGAGTGAGTGGGTGAGTGAGTGGGTGAGTGAGTGGGTGAGTGAGTGGGTGAGTGAGTGCGTGGGTGGGTGGGTAAGGGGATGATGGGTGGGTGAATGAGTGGGTAAATGAGTGGGTGAGTGAGTGGGTGAGTGAGTGCGTGGGTGGGTGGGTGGGTGAAAGGGTGGGTGAATGGGTGGGTGGGTGGGTGAGTGGGTGGGTGGGTGGGTGAGTGGGTGGGTGGGTGGGTGAGAGGGTGGGTGAGTGGGTGGGTGAGTGGGTGGGTGAGTGGGTGGGTGAGTGGGTGGGTGAGTGGGTGGGTGAGTGGGTGGGTGAGTGGGTGAGTGGGTGGGTGAGTGGGTGAGTGGGTGGGTGAGTGGGTGAGTGGGTGGGTGAGTGGGTGGGTGAGTGGGTGGGTGAGTGGGTGGGTGAGTGGGTGGGTGAGTGGGTCCATTCGTGAATGGGTGAGTTGCTGGCAGAGTGGGTGAGTGGCTGAGTTTAAGTGGGGGCGTGCAAGTGGCCAGGCGAGCGAGCGAGTGAGTGAGTAGGCAACTGGTGGTTGAGTGGGCCGACCGGTGAGCGAGTGGATTTGCTGGTGGGCACATGGGTGGGTGGGTGAGTGGGTGGGTGAGTGGGTGGGTGAGTGAGTGGGTGGGTGGGTGAGTGAGTGGGTGGGTGATCGGGTGGGTGGACGAGGGGGTGAGTCATCGGGCGTGTGGCGCAGTGGGTTCGGTGAATGCCGAGGGCACCGCATTATGAACCCGGCAAGCCGAGTTTGTTGTTTTCCCGGCGACGGGAAACGTCCATGGAGCATTACCCGCATTGAGCTGCCGCGCGGCAAAGTATGGTCAGTCAGAGGTGGGCAGGGGGAAGACTCAAAGAACTCGCCGTGGCCAGATCATCTGCCGTGGCCACAGATCTTGTACTTCACCTCGGCAGTTCAACGTGCCTGCGTGTCGCTCTGCAATCGCGGTGGCTAGGAGATGTTATCTCCCTCGCCTCGTGCACAGGGGGTCGTGGGTTTGATCCCGACTCTGACGATGCCTGCTGGTCGCGCCGATTCTTCTCCGGGTCCTCCGGTTTTTCCCTCCACATTTAGACTCGACGTGACGCGTCTTGGGTATATTTTTTCTGCTGCTGCTCGAATGTTGCGTGCGACAAGCCGCTTCGTGGAGCGACACAGCTCAGTGAAGCCTTTACCTGGTCAGTTTAGGCCACACACACACACACAGAGGAATAACCCCGTTCCACTTTGGACGGTCGGTCGTGGGACGTTCCTTAAGGCGGAGGCAGCGGTGGCGGTGGCTTGACCTGGATGGGCAGCGACGGCGCCAGCGACGGCGGCAAGGAGTTTGGGTCGTGTGAGGAGGGGGGGGAGGAGGAGGAGGAGGGGGAGATGGGTGAGGAGGAGGAGCGTGGAGACGTGGGAGGGGACCTCTCCCAGTGGGGCTTTCTGGGACGCGTCCTGGAGGAGGGTCGGGAGCGAGCGTCCCGCGTGGCCGTCCACAACCTCCGGGAGGTGAAGCGGCTCGTGGGGCTGCCACCGTGACGGAGCCCCACGGCGACTCCCCCCCCCCCACCGGCACTTTGTGTCGATCCTTCATTAGGCGGGGACGGGATCTGAATATCACTGGGGTCCCACTCATGCACTGACCCCACCCACTAATACACCTAATCACACACCCGCTCACCCATCCACTCACTCACTCACTCACCCACGCACTCACTCATCCACTCACTCACCCACTCACTCGCCCACCCACTCGCCCACCCACTCGCCCACCCACTCGCCCACCCACTCACTCGCCCACCCACTCACTCGCCCACCCACTCACTCGCCCACCCACTCACTCGCCCACCCACTCACTCATCCACCCACTCACTCATCCACCCACCCACTCACTCACCCACCCACTCACCCACTCACTCACCCACTCACCCACCCACTCACTGACTCATCAACCCACCCATCCACTCACCCACTCACTCACCCACCCACCGACTCACCCATCGACTCAGCCACCGACTCACCCACCCACTCACTCATCCACTCACTCATCCACTCACCCATCCACTCACTCACCCACTCACCCACGCACTCACTCATCCACTCACTCATGCACTCACTCACACACTCACTCATCCACTCACTCATCCACTCACCCACCCGCTCACCCACTCGCCCACCCACTCACCCACCCACTCACCCTCCCACTCACCCACACAAAGATCCCCCATGTCGCCATAACAGACTGTTGGGGCAAGTGCTGTTAGCGGCCATATCCACGGTTGTCATCGCGTCTTTACGTGACATCGTCTACCATTGCTGCCCAGGGCCGGGCGTTGACATTGCCGGGGCCCCAAGCCGCGTCAGACCCAAGAGGCCCCCATCGAGGACTGGCTGGACAAGGCGGTGGTCTCGAGTTGACGGCGCTCCACATTGACGATGGCCAAACGCCGCGTGCCTCCAAACACTTGAGCGGAGCTCGTCTGGTTTCCGACGCGTCTTGGGAGCTTTTGAGTGTTTTTGTGGATGATGTTTACCCATTAAAACCCTCGTGAAAGGAAAAGAACATCTTGCGAGTGACGTATCTGTTTTTACGCTCTATGGGAACCGCGGGGTGCGATCTACGAGCACGGGGTGGGTTTCCAGACACGTGTTGTGACGTCGTGATAACCGGGCAATGCCTGCATATTGTTGCCATAGCGGAATTAAAATAACCGTTCTATGGAGTCATCACCGATCGTGATGGTGTCTTGGGCTGAGAGAACCCCCCCCCCCCAAACCTGCAGGCCCAGTTCCTGGAAGTCGGAGATCGGATCACCGTTCTATCCCTTAATGATGGTGATCGGCGTGGTGGTGCAAGTAACTTTTAAAAATCCTTTATATTAAGTTCGCTTGCTTGCGTGCTTGCTTATGACCGTGCAAATCTTTCGGTCGTTTTTTAACCCACTTCCCGTGATCCAATCGAGCTGACATTTTCCACACAGACTCGTTGTGCGTGACAATTAATGTTCGTGAAATTTTTTTTCCAAAATTTTACACTGTTTAGGGAATTTTTTAAAATATTTAATTACCAATTGCTTAATGCTGGCAGACAATCATCTGACCCATAGGTGGCAGCCATCTCAAGCCAGAGGACGAGAGGACTCTAGCCGCCACGCATATAAAGGATTTAGAGTGAAAAACTTTGTTTTTACGGGTTAATTTTTAGTAATTCAATTAAAGAGTGATTTGCGTTATCGCAGGTTACTGAGGCAGAGTCCATCTCTCCTCAGCAACCCGCACTCAACACTCATCCTTGCAGCGCCGCATGGCTCTGAAAGCCTCCGAGCGAAGGATGTTTCAAGCCTCCTCATTGTGCTATGTTGTAGACGGGAGTGGGCCTGTCGTTTTCTGTCAACCAGCCACAACACCACCTCCTTCAGCCAGGGCCTCCGAGGTCTGGGACCCAATGCTGCCATTGCAGCTGCATGAGCCACAGTCCTGAACCTCACCCATCACACCATCATTACCACGGGTATCATCACACACATCTGCCGCATGAGCTTGCAGTGTTGAGCCTCACTCATTTCCCATCGGCATCAGGAGGGGAGACGATGCCAACCCCAGCAGCTAAGTGATGATGACATTCCTGCTTGCAGCTTTCATCAGCCAGCTGAGGCCAGGCTACTGAGTTTGAATGGGGTTCTAAATGGACTACCCACTACCGGAGTGGAAGAATGGCAGGCGCATCATACAAATGACCAGATCAGCTCCACAGTAGATTATGGTGCCGAGGACATGGGCCCGCATTCACTGTTGCGTCACTCTATAGTCCAACAGATGTCATTGGTTGGACCCGGCATGCACCCATGTGTGGATGCGCTGATGCTGGAAAGCGTGTTGGTAGTTACAAGCCCACAAGTCGAACAGTCTCCTACCGTTATTACCGAGCTGATATGGCCCATGCCCTCCAATCACTGACTCACTCGGGTATTCAAGTCACGCAACAAGATGACTCCATCCCAATGGGCCACTTTATCGAGCACCTGGGATAGGTCATCGAAGGCATCCGACTCATCGGCCTCGTCTGCACCGATGTTCATCTTCGGTGGGGGCGTAAACAACGACCACCACAATTCCTCGCCTCTTGTTGATGAGTCTCCCCCACAGTAGCCTGGGACTCGGTTTCCCACAACCTCACCGCCACGCTCCCACACCCCTATATACACAACGCATGCACACAATTCACCGTGTTTTTCCCCAATTCCACTCGCATTTTGTCTCTTACTCATTCACCCCCAGCGTTACTGACCGATCAAACACTCACCCACCCAGTCACTCCCCACCCACCCAGTCATTCACCCACCCACCCACCCAGTCATTCACCCACCCACCCACCCAGTCATTCACCCACCCACCCACTCATTCACCCACCCAGTCATTCACCCACCCACTCACTCACCCACCCACTCACTACTGGCATGCTCTACCGAGTATTTTTATTGGCTATTACAAAAACCGGGCTGACACACTACAAACAGCACTGCACGAGCACAGGGCCACAAGGGGTGAAGAAGGGGACTTGGGGCTGCGTTCCCACCACCTCTGCTTGGCCTGCCCAGGGCTGGGTTCCACTTTGAGGGGGGCCCTGGGCGAGACAGCTGTGGGGGGGGGCCCGATGTGAATGCAGTTCCTTCCCAATACCCCCCAAAAGCCCCATTCCAATGACTGCACATCCATCACAAACCAGAGTTGGTTCCCCACTTGGGCGAAATTCCACTTCTTAAAATTATTTTATCGGTTCGATTTGTCACACGGCGAACATCGCTCGTTAAAAACCCAACTATCATTTCACCAGGTCAGCCTCACCGAGCGATGCAGCAAGCAGGCGATCACGAACGATATCTCGATGAAGCAGCTTGTCACGTGAACATTGGCAGCAAAAAAAAAACCCTAAACGCCCGTTTAGTCTAAATCTGGAGGGTATTTGACCGCAATGCATTTCCACAAGCCACTTGGGGTCCAGCTATCATTCGAGGCCGGATTGCTTCTCAGAGCTGCATGGCTCAGTGGGCCTCATTCTAGATTTGAAGCCTGGTCAAATAGAAAGATGGAATCAAGCGGGCGACCTCCGAACTGTGGATTCCACGTGGGCCTGTTTCGTCTCGGTGAAAAACGACGAGTTCGTGTCGATCGGAAACCCTCCCGTAGCGTTTTTTTTTGTCCCCCCCCCCCCCTCTCTCCATCCCCCACGCAGTTACGTTACCAATTAATTTCTTCAGAACCGCCGATTGTTGTGTTTAGTTTGGTGTCCTTCCCTGGCAACTCCGATGAGCAGGGTTGGCTACGACCGGTGGTACGAAAGGAGTCCAACATACGCGCACACTTGAGGATGTGAAGCTTTCGTGACGGCCGGAATCCATCGTCTTTGGTTCTTTCGGTAAAGTCACGTGGGTGGAAATCAAGTAAATCGCGACGTTTCGATCGCAACACGAGCGAGCGTCATCAGGCTCGTGTTGCGATTTCTTTTATTTCTACCCACGTGACTTTACCGAAAGAACCAAAGAGTTTGCGTACACGCATAAGTTACCAAACTCGAGCTCAAACTAATACAACCTCAAAAGCTCCAATCTGGAACCCCCCTGGACCTCACCGAGCTGACACCACGCGCCCACAGAGCCACTTCGAGACCGCTTCGCGAGGCTAGAGGGACGCGGCGGCAGGCCAAGCACACGCGGCCACTCACAACGTCGACGATTATTCGATTCGTTTACCCAGGAAAGCCTCACCAGAGTGTCAGCACAGCTTTTCAGGAGGGCCTTGCCGATGCTGCTGCTTAATCCCAATTGAGCAGTTTGCAGGAACTTTGTTGGGATGATGTTTTGGCCACAGCGTTGGGAGCTTTAGAAATGATTTTAGCAAAGGGGGGAGAAACTTCAGAGTCTGAAACCCACGCGGAACAGGGGGAAGAGGATGTACAGACTCCACACAAGAGACAAGTTCGAGTTGGATCTCCACAACCAGGACTGCTGTGCCACCCTTATGGGCCCTCTGGGAATCCCAAAGCGTCTTTCCTGGGCTCAACAACAAGAGTGGCGATCATTGTTAATAAGCGTGATCATCTTAAGAGTGACGCGGTTGACAAACGCTAATCGGAAACTCCCGACGACTAGCAAATGTCATCTCGAACGCAACTGCCCTTGAAGGCCCTGGCCCTGTCCGCATCCGAGCAATAAGTTGCACGCAACAAGTTGCACGCAACAAGGGGAGTTGTGGATGCAACGCGTGTGCCCCCCACCCACCCCACCCACCATCCACCCAGCCCGCCACCAACCCACCCACCCAGCCCGCCACCAACATGATTGGCGAGGCCTTCGCTCCACGCGTGAGCAACCGGCGTGGCGGACATCCACACACACTCGGTTGCAGGCAAACAGAGTTGCGCAACCGACTGCGGCAAAATGATCCGGTTGCATGCAACCGAGCTCCCCGGCGCTGCGCCCGGGAGAGATGTGATCAGTTCACTAATGAGTCATTAAGTTACTGGTCGAGTAATTGGGTCACGAGGCTAAGTTATGTCACTGCTGGGTGATTGGGACATTAGGTGGCTGGGTTCATGGGCTGGGTGATTGGGTCATTAGGTAGCTGGGTTCATGGGCTGGGTGATTGGGACATTAGGTGGCTGGGTCATGGGCTGGGTGATTGGGTCATTAGGTAGCTGGGTTTATGGGCTGGGTGATTGGGTCATTAGGTGGCTGGGTTCATGGGCTGGGTGATTGGGACATTAGGTGGCTGGGTTCATGGGCTGGGTGATTGGGACATTAGGTGGCTGGGTTCATGGGCTGGGTGATTGGGACATTAGGTGGCTGGGTTCATGGGCTGGGTGATTGGGACATTAGGTGGCTGGGTTCATGGGCTGGGTGATTGGGTCATTAGGTGGCTGGGTTCATGGGCTGGGCGATTGGGTCATTAGGTGGCTGGGTTCATGGGCTGGGTGATTGGGTCATTAGGTGGCTGGGTCATGGGCTGGGTGATTGGGTCATTAGGTCACGAGGCAAGGTGGGGGAGGGGCACATTCAGGTTAAAGGTCGCGGATTGGGGTGGTGGGATCAGGGAATACACTACTGCACTACTGTAAAAAAGGGGGTCAAATATCAAGCCCAGGTCATTGTGTGTGTGATGCAGAGTGTGGGAGGGTGTGTGTGAGAGTCTGAATGTGTGTGATTCAGTGTGTGGGAGGGTGTGTGTGAGGGTCAGAGTGTGGGAGGGTGTGAGTGTGGGAGGGTGTGTGTGTGATTCAGTGTGTTGGAGGGTGTGTGTGTGAGTGTGGGAGGGTGTGATAAAGGGTGCTCATTGTGTATCATCGAGTTTCGGTGTCTTGGGCTCTGCCAGTCTGTGTGTCTACGTCTCAGTGTCTGACTTTATGTGAAAGTCTCTGTGTGAGTATCAGTGTGTCTGTGTATGTATCAGTGTGTCTGTGTATGTATCAGTGTGTCTATGTGAGTATCTGTGTATATGGGTATCCGTGTCTTGTGTATCCGTTTGTCTGTATCTGTATATCAGTGTATGTGTGTCTATGTGAGTATCAGTGTGTCTGTGTGAGTATCTGTGTATCAGTGTGTCTGTGTATCAGTGTGTTTGTGTGTGTATCAGTGTGTCTGTGTGTGTCTGTGTTCAGTCTCAGAATCGAGCTCTTTTAGCTTCAAACTCCGTGGAATCGGCTCTGGGTCCAAAGCCTGGGTTCACTCCCATCTATCGACATACACACACGGGGAGAGGAGAGACAGAGTGCGAGAGACACGGGGAAAGAGACACGGGGCGAGAGACACAGGGAGGTAGACATGGGGAGAGAGAGACACGGGGAGACACGCGGGGAGAGACGCGGGGAGAGAGACATGAGGAGCGAGAGACACGGGGAGAGAGACATGGGGAGAGACACAGGGAGGTAGACACGGGGAGAGAGACACGGGGTGAGAGACACGGGGGGGGAGAGAGACACGGGGAGAGACACACGGGGAGAGAGAGACGGGGAGAGAGACACGGGGGGGGAGAGAGACACGGGGGGGAGAGAGACACGGGGGGGAGAGAGACACGGGGAGAGACACACGGGGAGAGAGACACGGGGTGAGAGACACGGGGAGAGAGACACGGGGGGGAGAGAGACACGGGGAGAGAGACACGGGGAGAGAGAGACGGGGAGAGAGACACGGGGAGAGACACACGGGGAGAGAGACATGGGGAGAGAGACACGGGGGGGAGAGAGACACGGGGGGGAGAGAGACACGGGGAGACACGGGGAGAGAGACACTTGGTTAGCCGCGTCACCCAGGTTGCTACAAGACAATTCCTACGGGTGACGCTACCATGCTGGTTGCCATGGAGATGGACACGAGTTTCAATAATGCTGGTTACTATGACAATGATTACTACTGGACATGTGTGAACGAGAGCTTCATAGCTCATCGGATTACTCAAGTAGAATATTCTGACTATGCTGTTTGCCCACGGAGCTATGGAGCTTGTGTCACGTGGGGCGCCATGGTGACGACACGTTCACCATCTCGCCTGGTGTACAGGAGACTGTGGGCTCAATCCCGGCCCCGACGCCGATATATTTGGAGTTTGCGTCTCTCTCTCTCTCGGTCTCCCCGTGGTGTTCGCGTGGACTTTTCTCCGGGTCCTCCGGATTTTCCCTCCACATTTAAAATGAATGTCACGGCATTTAGAGAATTTGGCCGCCGCTATGAGTGTCCACGTGATTGCGAGCCACTTGGCTCAGCTGTCATTAGTGGTGGGCAGGAGGTAGCTTCTGAACAAGAGTCACAAAGCAACTCAGTGAGTCCTTACCTGGTAAAGTAAAAAAATAGTTCAGAGTTTTAAATTGCTAAGGAGCCTCTCACCTGGGGAACCTGGGGGTTGGCGAACTGCCCGAAGTTGATGTTGAAGCCTGGCTGGTTGCCGTGGTTACCGGGCAGCCCCCCCCCTCCTCCCCCGCCCACAAAGCCCTCTGTCACAGCAGCAGCAGCAGCAGGAAGAAGATCAGTGGCATTACAAGCTTCCGCTACACAAACCTTACGGCAGTAACCCGGGATCCCGAATAAACGGAAGTCAAAATCGAAATTAGTTGATTTATTTTTGCCGACTCCGTCCCACCGCGCACAGAAACGCCGCGACCCGCCGGGCGCGGATCGCTCGGCTGTCGTCGTCGAGTCCAAGCGCGGCGGCGAGGACTAATGCTGCAGAAGAAACTAAACTTTTAAACTTTAATCGGCGCGTCGCGTAGAGCTCGTCGAAGAGGGACAGGTCGCCGTGCCGTTCGCCTTCGACGGACATCAAATGACGTCACAACGCAGCTCATGCGAGAGACCCGGGGGGGCTTATGGGACCCCCCGGGGTTCCGCCACGAGGTTCACATCGTGAACAAAGACCCCCGCCCCCCGCCCAGCCTGAACACAGGCTGGTGAGTGCTGTTGGTAGCCAGTAGCAGCACCTCTGAAGGGCGACACCGGCGCCTGTGTTGATGTTTACTACACACCGCACCGGACACTCGTTTGAGGCCGAGTCGACCTAGAGGCGGCCCAGGACTGATTTGGATCACCGCAATCAGTGGTGTTGGCAGTGGCCGTGAGCGGAACTCCAACTGGTCGCTGGTTCCAGGGGTGGCAGTGCGGTACTCAAGTCGGGTGATTATTTCGTACCATATTCATCACGGCCATGATTATAATATCATTATAATATAGTTATAATATAATTATATTATAAATATAATATAATTATATTATATATTGGGGTGGACACATCCCCCCCCTAATATTCAAACATGCTCAAAATGTCCCCCCCCCCCAATATATTGCTATAAAATAGATGTATGTCTATATGATTGTGGTTATGGTTGTATTTTATTAATCCCTAATCTCTGCCATTAGATACCATGAAACAATACAAGGTAAAAAAAGAGCAATGTATTACAAAGCACTATTAGACATTATTGTTGTAAAAATAAATAAAAGTCCATCCCATGTGTTAGTGAATTTTTGTAATATTTTAGGCAGGAAATGAGTTTTCAAATTTAGATTTGTTTTCTGGGGGGGGGGGGGAGGGGACCCCCAGACCCCCTGGAAGATTTGGGTCCCCCCCAATGTTGACTCCACGGCTACGGCCTCGCTTTCCATACCAACTCAGGTGACCGGTTCATTCGAGGCTATTAACGAATTGATACCCGAGTTGTGTGAAGATGAGCTTCTAATGATCTGGAAATGCCTCCGGTACAGCCACTGAAAGCTTCTCGAACTATGTGGACCAAATAGATGTTAAATAATGTAACGGTCAAAGAACATTCAAATCGTATCCCAAGGTGAGCAGGGAATGGGTCCGACTCCTGGCCACGTGGCTTTACCCGGGCCCGTCCACCATCATGAAGGCCCTTAATGATCGTGAGCAGAGGGTCAGGGACTCCGAAAGCACGAAGAACAACCCAGAGCCCAGGCCTACTGATGGTATCATAGGCCTTGACCAGGTCAATAAAGCAGAGATGTAGGTCTTGTTGGAATTCCCTACACCTCTGCTGTAGCAGACGGACAGAAAATATGGCGTCTGTGCAGGACCGCCCCAGTTTGAAACCACACTGGGGCTCCGCAAGCCTCTCCTCAGCGTGCCTGGCAAGGCGATGTTGAATAATCCTTGCCAGGACCTTTCCCGGCACACTGAGGAGTGAGATGCCCCTGTAGTTGTTACAGTCGGTGCGGTCCCCCTTCTTAAAGAGGGGGAGACCACCAGGGCATCCTTCCAATCTAGCGGAACCCATCCTGTGGTCCAGACGGTTGTATTGATGTCACGCAGGGCAGTCTGTGCACAGACGCCACCCTCCCTCAGCTGTCCACTCGAGGGGTCATCTTTGCCAGGCGCTTGTTCTGGTCTTAGACTCTGGGGATCACTCCTCGTACTTCCTCAACAGACGGTGGCATGGCACCATCAGCCAGCCACCCACAAGCAGCGGCTACCTCCACTATGTGAGGGCACAGCAGCAACGGCAGGGTCAGCCCCACCTTGCCCGAGGATGTGATCTGAGCTGACGAGTTTCCCCTACCCCAAGACCTCATAGAAATGTTCAGAAATCCTGCGAATCTGTTCCTGGAGGTCGGAGATCGAATCAACGTTCTTTGTAGAAGTTGCTCTTTTGATGAAATTAATTCATTGTTTGTGAGTGAGCTGTCCCCGTGTCTCTCGCTTTCTCTCCATGTCCCGTGTCTCTCTCCGTGTCTCTCCCCGTCTCTCTCTCCCCGATTCTCTCTGTCCATGTGCCCATGTGCCTGTGTCTTAGTGTGTCCCCGTGTCTCACCCTGTCTTCCTTGATTCATTCCAGGAACTTGTTCCCTTGGCTGCTGGACCTGAGACATCAACAACATCAACATTACACCATCATCAACATCATCGTCATCAACATTACACAGACCCGTGTCTCGCTCAGTGTTCTGTCTTCCCGTGTGTCTCTCTCTATCCGTGTTCTCCGTCTCTCCCCGTGTCTCTCTCTCCCCGTGTCTCTCTCTCCCCGTGTCTGTCTCTCCCGTCTCTCTCTCCCCGTGTCTCTCTCCCCGTGTCTCTCTCCCCGTGTCTCTCTCCCCGTGTCTCTCCCCGTGTCTCTGTCTGTCTCTCACCCCGTGCTCTGCAAACTTGGCTCTGAATCGCTCTTCCTGTTCCTTCTGCTTCTTCAGCAGCTCCTCCTCACGGCGTTTACGCTCCTCCTCGTACCTAGAGAGACACAGAGAGACACAGCGAGACATGGGGAGAGAGAGATGAAGAGAGAAAGACACGGGGAGAGACAGATTGAGAGAGACACGGGGAGAGACAGATTGAGAGAGACACGGGGAGAGACACATGGGGAAAGACAGATTGAGAAAGACACGGGGAGAGAGAGACAAAGACCCAAAGACACAGACAGAGAGACAGGGAGAGAGAGACAGACACACACACAGGCACGGGGGGAGAGAGACGTGGGGAGAGAGATGAAGAGAGAAAGAGAGAGATGGGGAGAAACAGGGACATGATCAGGGGTTGTAGCATCAATGTGAGACTCAGGGTGAGATTTACACATTCATGTGCGTGTCCCCGTGCCCCCGTGTCTCCACGCCTGTCTCTCTCCCCATGTCCCCGTGTCTCCGTTTCCCCTGTGTCTGTGTCTTGAAGTCCCCATGTCTGTCTCTCTGTGTCTCCATGTCTCTTTCCCCCGTCTCAGTGTCTCTCTCCGTGTGTCCCCGTGTGTCCCGTGTGTCCCCGTAGTGCCCCCGTGTGTCCGTCTCACCTCATCTCCATCATCTTGCGTTTCTGTGCCTCCGAGTTTCTCATTTCCTCAAATCGTCTCAGCTCCTCCTCACGGCGCATCAAGTCTACCGGCATCATCACAAACATCATCGTCGTCATAAACCTTTTCATCATCATCGCAAACGTCGCCGTCGTCATCATCGTCGTCGTTGGGGGGGATTGGGAAGGAACTGCATTCACATCGCCCCCCCCCCCACAGCTGTCTCTTCCTGGGCCCCCCTCAAAGTGGAACCCAGCCCTGGGCAGGCCAAGCAGAGGTGGTGGGAACGCAGCCCCAAGTCCCCTTCTTCACCCCTTGTGGGCCTGTGCTAGTGCAGTGCTGTTTGTGGTGTGTCAGCCAATAAAAATACTCGGTAGAGCAAGCGCCAGTGTTGCCGTACAAATAGTGGGGGAAGGCCCTTTGCTATTGATGCCCCCAGGGTCTGGAATGCTGTCGCCAATAAACTGCAACTTGAATCACTACCTGTGAGATCTTCACTAAAAACTGCTCTAGAGGAGTTGTACACCCCCAGCTGCCACTGCAATTCAGTGGCCTGAAATCAAATGCATCGCTCCAGATGATCGCTGCTAAGTATGATCTTGAGTTTTGATTATCGTGTGCTGATCTTTAAAGGTGCATTGAAAAATGTTGATACTGCTACTGATACTCCTGCTGTTATGGAGCGACTCATGCAGCCAGCTATGGCTGCAAAGTTCGGTCGTACATGTTAAGTGTATATCGCTTATTGTTACATTTGAATCACAGTTCCTATGATCACTGTTACATTGTTTTTATAGCTTTATTTTGGTGATTTCGAAAACGTTTTGGTTTAGCCATGTTTGTGTGTTGTAGTACAGAGTTAGTCTGATAACTTTATAATCTAAATTGTCATGTGGTTGTTATTGTTTGACTTGCATCCCACTGGGATTTTTGCACACAGCGTTGATATCGGTGCTTTTTTCTGCAAGACTTTGCTGTTTTTTCCTGGATTTTTCTGTTTGCGCGTAGTCACTTGAAGATGTTTCTTGTTCATGTTTTTGTTTGTTGCGGTTGCACCCGAGTCCTGTGAGCCAAATGGCTCACAGGGCTATACCTAATACATGAAACTGAAATAAAAACTGAGTGAGAGCAGGTCAGTGGTTTGGTGGGTGGGTGAGTGAGCGGGTGAATGACAGTGGTTGAGTGAGCGGGTGAATGACTGGGGGAGTGAGTGGTTGGATGGGTGAGTGGGTGAGTCGGTGAGTGAGTGGGTGAGTGACTGGGTGAGTGAGTAGGTGAGTGACTGGGTGAGTGAGTGGGTGAGTGACTGGATGAGTAAGTGAGTGGGTGAGTAGGTGAGTGAGCGGGTGAGTGACTGGGTGAGTGAGTGGGTGAGTGGGTTAGTGAGTGGGTGAGTGGGTGAACGAGTGGGTGAGTGACTGGGTGAGTAAGTGGGTAGGTGAGTGGGTGAGTAGGTGAGTGGTTGGGTGAATGAGTGGGTGAGTGACTGGGTGAGTAAGTGGGTGGGTGAGTGAGTAAGTAGGTGAGTGAGTAAGTAGGTGAGTGAGTAAGTAGGTGAGTGACTGGGTGAGTGACTGGGTGAGTGACTGGGTGAGTGACTGGGTGAGTGACTGGGTGAGTGACTGGGTGAGTGACTGGGTGAGTGACTGGGTGAGTGACTGGGTGAGTGACTGGGTGAGTGAGTGGTTGTGTGTTTTAAGCAAACTCAGTGGGCCTTACCCGGTAAAATATCTACACATGTATAATATTCCCAATGTATATGTTTATTAGATATGTAATTACACAGATAAGATATTAAACATGTAATGCTCCGTGTGTTTGAGTGTCAGTCTCTGCGGCTTGGGCTCACCCTGCCTCATCAGCATGGCCTGGTGCTCCACGTGGGCGCCCTCCACGTCGAGCTCCAGCCGCTCGGCCGCCTCGCGCACGTTCAGCTCCACCGTCTCCTTCTGCTGCCGCTCCATCTGCTCCAGCGCCTTCCAGCGCATCGCGTACTCGTACTCAAACGTGCCGGGCTGGGCAAAGCGTGGGGCACACTCCCTCTCCCTGTGGATAGACAGAGAGACAGATAGATACAGAGAGATAGACACAGAGAGACACACAGACACTCACACAGAGACACACACAGAGACACACACAGTGACACACACAGAGACTCGCACAGAGACACACACAGAGACACACACACACAAGAGACACACACACGGAGACACACACACGGAGACACACACAGTGACACACACAGAGACACAGATACTCACACAGAGACACACAGAGTGACACACACAGAGACACAGAGACTCACACAGAGACTCACACAGAGACTCACACAGAGACAGACACACACACAGAGACACACACACGGAGACACACACACAGAGTACTCCGACTCAAACGTGACGGGCTTATCGAAGCGCTTAAAAACCCAGCAAACGGAATTCAATTCTCACTCACGGCCCACACCAGTGACGATTATCTGAATGGGACCTGGCCTTCCGCTAGGTCTACTCAGTCTCAAATGAGTACCTGGTGCAGTGTGCAGTCAACTTCACCACTGGGGAGACAAAGGTGGCCGGGCGTGCGTGATGGTGGCCACGCACCCCCCTCGTGTGCCAGTGCCGGCCTTGATGAGGTGATGCTTGCTACTAACAGCAGTCTGTTACAGGCTATTCCCATGTCCCCGTGTCTCTTCATGTCTCCGTGTCTTTGGTCTCCGTGTCTCCGTGTCCATCTCTCCCCCGTGTCTCTGCGTCCCCGTGTCCATCTCTCCCCGTGTCTCTGCGTCCCCGTGTCCATCTCTCCCCCGTGTCTCTGCGTCCCCGTGTCCATCTCTCCCCCGTGTCTCTGCGTCCCCGTGTCCATGCGTCCCCGTGTCCATCTCTCCCCCGTGTCTCTGCGTCCCCGTGTCCATCTCTCCCCCGTGTCTCTGCGTCCCCGTGTCCATCTCTCCCCCGTGTCTCTGCGTCCCCGTGTCCATCTCTCCCCCGTGTCCCCGTGTCTCTGCGTCCCCGTGTCTCTATATCACCGCTTCCCCGCGTCTCACTTGGAATACTGGGGGTGCTTCTGGAGGTGTTTGTCGAGGATTCCATCTTCATCCAGATGCTCCAGGGGCTCCACAAGCACCGGGCGCAGAGACCTAACAACAACACCATGAGCAACATCATCATCGTCAGTAGCATCATCATCAACATCATCATCATCAGTAGCATCATCAATAGCATCATCATCAGTAGCATCATCAATAGCATCATCATCAGTAGCATCATCGTCAGTAGCATCATCACCATCAGTAGCATCATCACGAGCAGCATCATCTTCAGTAGCATCATCAACATTATCATCATCAGTAGCATCCTCATCATCAGTAGAAACAACATCAGTAACAACATCATCAACATCATTATCGTGTCGCTGTAATGAGCGGTGAGATTGAGGAGTCGGTGTGCGATTGACAAAACAGCCGGTCAGCAACACTGTGGTGGCTCTGCTGGTGGTGGTTGGCACATGGTAATGCTATGGTGGATGTGGTGGTGGTTGTTGTGGTGGTGGTGGTTGCCAGACGCTAACACTGCGGTGGTGGTGGTTGCTGAACGCTAACACTGCTGTGGTGGTGGTTGTTGTTGTGGTGGTGGTGGTTGCCAGACACTAACACTGTGGTGGTGGCTGTGGTGGTGGTTGTTGTGGTGGTGGTTGGTGGACGCTAACACTGTGGTGGTGGCTGTGGTGGCTGTGGTGGTGGTTGTTGTGGTGGTTGCTGAACGCTAACACTGCGGTGGTGGTGGTGGTTGCTGAACGCTAACACTGCGATGGTGGCTGCGGTAGTGGTGGTGGTTGTGGTGGTGGTTGCTGAACGCTAACACTGCGGTGGTGGCTGTGGTGGCTGTGGTGGTTGTTGTGGTGGTTGCTGAACGCTAACACTGCGGTGGTGGCTGCGGTGGTGGTGGTGGTTGCGGTGGTGGTGGTTGCTGAACGCTAACACTGTGGTGGTGGTTGCGGTGGTGGTTGCCAGACGCTAACACTGCGGTGGTTGCGGTGGTGGTGGTGGTTGCGGTGGTGGTGGTGGCTGCGGTGGTTGCCGGTCAGCAACGCTGCTGTGGCTGTGAGCAATGCCATGGGAGGAAGCCCGACACCGATTGGCTGTTCCCCTCGTGGTGTTCGTAGCCGCCAGTGCTCAGCGGGGGGCTCTGGAGGGGCGGAGGCAGAAGACTGAATCCCTGCCCTCGGGGTTCCTCCAGAAATGGCAAAGCAAACCCACTGCGCGTGGCCACGCGGAATGTTTGAACTGCTCCTGCTGTAACGAGGCTGCCATTCCTCTAGCGGGAGCTCGAGTGGTACTGCCTGGACCTGTACGAATGTACGGAGAACTCCTCTCGCACCGCGAGTAGCCGACGGTGCCAATCAGACGTGTGGGGGAACGAGAACAAACGAAACACAAAAAGCAGTTCTCACAAATTTGTTTTCTATCTGGATGATTTAAAAGTGCATAGCTCCGGTGGCTTCCTAATATCAGAAGAGCGTTCCAGACGGCCAGGGTTTAACCAGGCTGGGTTCAACCAGGCCAGATTGTGTGAGGAGCTCACAAATTCTTGAAAGATCTGGACACATTTCCATCTGTCAGCTCCTCCAGCAGGCTGCGTTGGCTGGGTCATGTAGCCCGCATGCCCGGCCACCGCAAGTCCAAACAGCTTCTGTTTGGCTGGATAAAGGGGGCTAAATGGGCACAACACGGGCTGAAAAAAAGATGGACTGATGCGGTACGGGAGGACGTGGAGCTGAGTGGACTTGCCGAAGACCGATACCAGCGGTGTCAAGATCGGCTTCTGTGGAGGAGGCTCGTGAAGGACGCTACTGGGCAGTTGGAGGCAGTCGCCCTCCAACATCAACGGAGGGCGGAGGAGCGACGCTCACAACAACGAGCGGAGTGCCGGGCGGCTAAAACACAGCGAGTTGGCACAGTAGGGGGCACGGGTGGTGCATCTAGCGGTGATCTCAGTCAGTGAACCCACGGCACCTGCTGGGTCTGTCCCGTGACCACCTGTCAGCGAGCCTTCGAGACTTTACTCGGCCTTAAAGTGCACCTAGCCTGGCACAGGCGCCTTGGTGATGTCACCATCACTTAGTGGCGAATGGCGGTTGTTGTTGTGTGGGGAACGGTGATGTAGCCGTTAGCGGGTGGCGCTATTAACCCGGCTACCCGGGTTCAATTCCCGCTCACGGCCAACACCAGATGACGATCATCTGAACCGGTCCTGGGACTCTCCTAGGTCGACTCAGCCTCAATTTCTAACCTCGCGCGAAGTGTAAAAACATATCCACATGAGAGACAATGGCGGCCGGGCATGGTGCTGCCATCCACCCCCTCGTGTGTTGTTGCTGCGGCCTTCACCGGTGCTACTCGCCAACAGCACTTGCCCCAACAGTCTATGAAGGCAGTAGCGGAGGATCTTTGTGTTTGTGTCTCCGTTTGTCTCCATGTGTGTGTGTGTGTCTGCGTGTCTCCGTGGGTGTGTGTCTGCGTGTGCGTGTGTCTCCGTGGGTGTGTGTCTCCGTGGGTGTGTGTCTGCGTGTCTCCGTGGGTGTGTGTCTGCGTGTCTCCGTGGGTGTGTGTCTGCGTGGGTGCGTGTGTGTCTGCGTGTGTCTCCGTGGGTGTGTGTCTGCGTGTGCGTGTGTCTGCGTGGGTGTGTCTCCGTGGTGTGTGTCTGCGTGGGTGTGTGTCTGCGTGGGTGTGTGTCTGCGTGGGTGTGTGTGTGTCTCCGTGGGTGTGTGTCTGCGTGGGTGTGTGTCTGCGTGTGCGTGTGTCTGCGTGGGTGTGTGTCTGCATGGGTGTGTGTCTCCGTGGGTGTGTGTCTGCGTAGGTGTGTGTCTGCGTGTGCGTGTGTCTGCGTGGGTGTGTGTCTCCGTGGGTGTGTGTCTGCGTGGGTGTGTGTCTCCGTGGGTGCGTGTCTGCGTGGGTGTGTGTCTGCGTGGGTGTGTGTCTGCGTGGGTGTGTGTCTCCGTGGGTGCGTGTCTGCGTGGGTGCGTGTCTGCGTGGGTGTGTGTCTGCGTGGGTGTGTGTCTCCGTGGGTGTGTGTCTGCGTGGGTGTGTGTCTGCGTGGGTGTGTGTCTCCGTGGGTGTGTGTCTGCGTGGGTGTGTGTCTCCGTGGGTATGTGTCTCCGTGGGTGTGTGTCTGCGTGGGTGTGTGTCTGCGTGGGTGTGTGTCTGCGTGGGTGTGTGTCTCCGTGGGTGTGTGTGTCTGCGTGGGTGTGTGTCTGCGTGGGTGTGTGTCTGCGTGGGTGTGTGTGTCTGCGTGGGTGTGTGTCTGCGTGGGTGTGTGTGTCTGCATGGGTGTGTGTCTGCGTGGGTGTGTGTCTGCGTGGGTGGGTGTGTGTCTCCGTGGGTGTGTGTCTGCGTGGGTGTGTGTCTCCGTGGGTGTGTGACTGCGTGGGTGTGTCTCCGTGGGTGTGTGTCTGCGTGGGTGTGTGTCTCCGTGGGTGTGTGTCTGCGTGGGTGTGTGTCTCCGTGGGCGTGTGTCTGCGTGGGTGTGTGTGTCTGCGTGGGTGTGTGTCTGCGTGGGTGTGTCTCCGTGGGTGTGTGTCTGCGTGGGTGTGTGTCTCCGTGGGTGTGTGTCTGCGTGGGTGTGTGTCTGGGGAGCGGTGGTGTAGTGGTTAGCGCTACGCTGCGCTACGAACCTGGAGACCCGGGTTCGATTCCCGCTCACGGCCAGCACCAGTGGCGATTATCTGAACCGGTCCTGGGCCTCCCCTCGGTCGAATCAGCCTCAAATGAGTACCTGGTGCGATGTGTAAACATCGCCACTGGGGAGACAAAGGCGGCCGGGCGTGGTGCTGGCCACCCACCCCCTCGTGTGCCGTGCCGGCCTTCATAGGTGCTCGCTAACAGCACTTGCCCCTACAGTCTGTGAAGGCTATACAGGAGATCTTTGTCTTTGTGTCTCTGAGAGTATTTGTATTAATCTTGGTGACTGGTCAGTGCGTGGCGGTGAGCGGTGGGGGGTGAGCGGCGAAGGGTGGGGGGTGAGGGGTGAGCGGTGGGGGGTGAGCGGTGAGGGGTGAGCGGTGGGGGGTGAGCGGTGGGGGGTGAGCGGTGGGGGGTGAGCGGCGAGGGGTGAGCGGCGGGGGGTGAGCGGCGAGGGGTGAGGGGTGAGCGGTGGGGGGTGAGCGGTGGGGGGTGAGCGGTGAGGGGTGAGCGGTGGGGGGTGAGCGGCGAGGGGTGAGCGGCGGGGGGTGAGCGGCGGGGGTGAGCGGCGGGGGGTGAGGGTGAGCGGTGGGGGTGAGCGGTGGGGGGTGAGCGGTGGGGGGTGAGCGGTGGGGGGTGAGCGGTGGGGGGTGAGCGGTGGGGGGTGGGGGGTGAGCGGCGGGGGGTGAGCGGCGGGGGGTGAGCGGTGGGGGGTGAGCGGTGGGGGGTGAGCGGTGGGGGGTGAGCGGTGGGGGGTGAGCGGTGGGGGGTGAGCGGTGGGGGGTGGCGTACGAGGTGAGTAGATAGTTGCTCTCTCTGCAGCGGTCGAGCGCTTTCTTGGCGCTCTGCTTGGAGGCGAACTCCACGATGCCTCTCCCCGTGGAGCGCCCACGGTCGTCGACGATCACGATGGCACGCTCCAGCTGGCCAAATACAGAGAAGGCCTCCTGCTCCCCGAGACCCACAGACATGGGGAGAGAGACACAGAGACACGGGGGGGGGGGGGGAGAGAGACACAGAGACACGGGGGGGGGGGGGAGGGAGGGAGAGAGACACGGGGAGACAGAAAGAGACGTGGGGAGAGGAACACAGAGACAGAGAGAGACACGGGGAGCCACAGAGACACGGGGACAGACACAGGGAGACACGTGATTGAGTGATTCAGCTCATGTGTGTGTCTGTGTGTGTGTGTGGAGACGGCGGTGTTCTGGGTTCGTGCGCTGTGCCCACGAACCCAGCAACCCGAGTTTGATTTCTGCTCGTGATGAACCGGTCCTGGGCCTCTCCTAGGTCGACTCAGCCTCAAATGACTACCTTTGTGCGGTGTGTAGTAAACATCTCCACTGTGGAGACAAAGGCGGCCGGGCGTGGTGCTGGCCACTCACCCCTCATGTGCCGTGCCGGCCTTCATAGGTGCTGCCACTCGCTAACAGCGCTTGCCCCAAGTCGGTTTAGGCTACTCGTGGGATCTTTGTCTTTGGGTGAGTGAGCGAGCGAGTGATTGAGTGGTGACTGGGTGGGTGTGGTGAGCGAGCGAGTGGGTGGGTGGATAGTGAGTGGATGCGTGGTGGTGAATGGGCAAGTGGGTAGTGAGTAACTAGGCCAGTGAGTGGGTGGGTAGTGAGTGGATGCGTGGTGAATGGATGAGTGGGTGGGGGAGTGGGTGAGTGGTGAGCGTGTGAGCGGCGAGCGTGTGGTGAGCAGATGTGCGAGTGAGTGGTGAGCCAGTGGTGAGCGAGTGGTGAGCGATGAGCGAGTGGTGAGCAGATGTGCGAGTGAGTATATGTGCGGTGAGCAAGTGGTGAGTGGTGAGCGATGAGCGTTTGGTGAGCTGTCCTCACCTCGAGCAGCTCGTTGGTGACCTGTGGGGAGAGGTTGCGCACTCGGAGGGCGCCGCTGTGCGTCGCGAACCTCACGCGAAGCTCGCGGCTCCGCACGATCGTCCCGTCCAACTCAGCCTTGGCCATCTCGGCCAGCATCCTCGTACGCTGAGACACGGGGAGAGAGACACGGGGAGAGAGACACGGGGAGAGAGACACGGGGAGAGAGACACGGGGAGAGAGACACGGGGAGAGAGACACGGGGAGAGAGACACGGGGAGAGAGACACGGGGAGAGAGACACGGGGAGAGAGACACGGGGAGAGAGACACGGGGAGAGAGACACGGGGAGAGAGACACGGGGAGGGAGACACGGGGAGAGAGAGACACGGGGAGAGAGAGACACGGGGAGAGAGACACGGGGAGAGACGCAGAGAGAGAAAGCAATGGGGAGAGACAGAGACACGGGGAGAATGAGACACTCTCTTCGATCTCTCATGCTCACATGTCCATTGCATTGCACTCTCATGCTCACAGGCCCTTCTGATTACACCGCTGGGTTGCACTCCCTTGTTGAAGAGGCGGCTCTCCTCCTTTTCTACAGCTACATTCTCATTTCTCACGTTAACGTCACGAGCCCCGGCCACTTCTCTATGACCCTTGGGCTACACACATTTCAAACCTTTTACAACAGTCTGCTGCCTCAGCAGCAGGCCAAGCTTTCCCACCTGATGACGGACGCTTGTGTTGCGCCCGAAACGTCGTGATTTATTTTATACCCACGTGACTTTACTGAATGAACCAGAGTATGGAGAGACTGTCTATGCCCCATGTAGACTGTGATGTCATCGTCAGCATCACGATCCATGGGCAGGTAGCCCGCGAGTGTCCACCGCACATTTACACTTTCCTGTCTTGTGCCAATATGCTCAAGGGGCCGTCCATAAATGACGTCACGCGATTTTGGACGATTTTTGACCCCCCCCCCCCTCGTCACACGGCGTCACAAAAAGTCAGACCGCCCCCTCAAATATGACGTCACAAAGCTCTGCCCCCCCCCCCAAACAAAAATAAAACATGCTTCAAATCGCCGTAAACTATCGTCATTGTAGTGCGTATTTAATGTGGCGCTGCACTCTGATGTTGTAGGATAAAATATTTATTACAAAGTCTATTTAATTAAGTAGAATGTGTTGTCTATATTCATTTAAAGTTGCACATTTTGATGTGACGTCACATTTCTCAAACCTCCCCTCGTCACAAATGTCTGACCCCCCCCCCCCCCAAGGTGTGTGACGTCATTAATTAATGGCCCCCCAAGTAGTGGCACATCTTCCTCACACTAATCTCTGATGTCGTTGTCGAGCCACTCTGGGCGGGATCTTCCTCTCTTTACCGGCTACTTTCATTTTTCCCAAACAACAAACTTTTAATTCTCCTGTTGTCATCCATTCTCCGTGTGTCCAACGAGTGCCAGTTTGTTATCATGGGACCTTTGGCCCAGTAGCGAAGTATGAAAAATAAGAAAAGGTTGTACCCTTTCTGGCATTAAAACAGATTTCTTGGTAAAGTCACGTAGAAGGGGAATAATAAAATAATAAAAATATAAAACAATAAAATTCTCACGACGTTTTGACTGCAACACAAGCAATCACCATCAGGTGTGAAATCCACAGCAAGAAAATTTGCTGTGGATATAAAACAATAACATTCTCACGTTTTTTGCTCTGGATTTCACACCTGAAGATGATTGCTTGTGTTGCAGTCGAAACGTCGTGATAATTTTATTGTTTTATATTTTTATTATTTTATTGTTTCCCTTCTACGTGACTTTACCGAAAGAACCAAGAATATGAATCCCTGCAGTCACGAAAGCTTTAAATAAAAAACTTAAACAGATGTTAACAAACAGATGACCCTTTTCACAGTACTTGTGAACATGCTCTGATAATAATCGCTGCTCATCCTGAGCTATGAATGCTGATCCGTGCGTTGCCTTTGAACTGGTCGCCTTTTGCCGATCTCTGCTGTCACACCGCTAGCGAGACGAGGCCATAAGGCAAGCCAGGGGGGGGGTAACGATTATATTATTTTATATTATTACCAGAGCGTGTTTATTTGCATGTTCTGTGTGTGGTTAATGCAGCACTTAATGCCTTGCCGAAGGTAATCTCTTTGGTGTTTGAACATCTTAACACAACTCCGGTTACAATGCCAGAAAGGAGTAAAAGTGACAATGTCCTTCCCAGCACTACCTGCACCACCATCACCTTGTCTTCCTCTACGTAGGATCCGCTGCATTGGGGACACCCAAGGTGGCCTTCCGCAGTGTAGGCTGTACCGTATCGTACTTGGGATCACGGGGAGTGGTGGTGGAGCGATTAGCACGTTGCGCTGTAAACCCAGAAACCCGAGTTCGATTCCCACTTAAAGGCACCAACACCAGTGACGATGATCTGAACCGGTCCTGGGCCTCCCCTAGGTCCACTCAGCCTCGAATAAGTACCTAGTGCGGTGTGTAGGGAAAATCACGCCCTCGTGTGCCAGTGCCGGCCTTCATAGCTGCTACTCGCGAACAGCACTTGCCCCACTATGAGACATCTCCTTTACCAGTGGCAAAATATAGTAATAGGTTTATACCCTTTCAACTGGTACAAAAACTGACACCTTTATACAAGGCATCATGTTTGCAATAACCACAACACAAGCAGTCAAAATGCAAACAAAAAGAAACAACTCTGAGAATGATAATGATATGCACTGTCCTTGAAGTTGATTGGTCCACACCCGAGACAGCTTTTCTTAGAGCCTAGTCTCCATTGGTGTTGGACCAGATGACGCCAAAAGGCGCACAACAGTCTGTTACAGGCTATACGGGGGATCTTTGTAGATGTAGTGCAGACTGTACCGTAGGCTGCCAGTGCTAGGCTAGATTAACCCGATGGCTTGTGCCGTGTGTACTGTAGACTGTAGCACTGTGTGGTGTGGACTGTAGTCGTACTGTAGACTGCCAGTCAGGAGTAGTACCAGGCGGATGAATCCGAAGCCCTTGCCCTTGCTGACGAAGGCCTCGGCCGCGTCCCCATAGCGCCGGAAGAGCGCCAGGAAGTCGGCCTCCCCGGTGTCGCTGGGCAAGTTGCCCACGAAGAGTCGGCAGCGCTGGGAGAACTCGCGCTCTGCCGCACGCAGACCCGGCGGCCCCGACGGCCCCGGGCCGCGCTGGGACGAGGAGCCTCCTCCTCCGCCACCGCCGCCTCCAGCGACACAGAGACAGAGACACGGAGACAAAGATCACCCCCTCACCCTGGCAGAGCCTTACCACCTCCAGCAACTCCCACGGCCGGCATTCGCCACTCAGTGGCGGTGACATCACCATGGCGCTTGTGCCAGGCTATGTGCACTTTAAGCCATGGGTGTCCAGGTCATGAACAGAACCCACCACCACCTCCTCCACCAACTCCTCCACCAGCACCACCACCACCTCCTCCACCAGCATCACCACCTCCTCCACCAGCACCAGCACCACCACCTCCTCCACCAGCACCACCACCACCTCCTCTACCACCAGCACCACCACCACCATCTCCTCCCCTGACAAAGGTCGCACTCATTGCACACCAAGTGCTTTGCCACAACTGAACCACGATACCTCGCTGACCTCGCCATAAACCATCATCACGCGAACTCCCCCGGTCATCCTCGCAGCGGCTTTTGGTGAGCCATCAAACAAAGACGGCCACCACATCGCGCGGCCGTCTGGAACACTCTTCCTTCCGATACGAGGAAGCCACTGGAGCGATGCACTTTTAATTAATCTAGAATGACGAACTTATTTCTTTAGAACCACGTTTTGTGTTGAGCTTGTTGTCCTTCCCCCACACCTCCCATTAGCACGGTGAGCTACGTACGGTGCGAAAGAAGGTCACCATACATCAAACTCAACCATCATCTCCACCAACACCACCAATGACACCAACACCCGTCAATCACCACTCGAAAGAAGGTCACCATACATCAAACTCAACCACCACCTCCTCCACCACCACCATCTCCAACTCTACCACCAATACCACCACAACCAATTCCACCAACTCAACCACCGCCTCCACCAACTCCATCACCACCACCTCCGCCAAAACCATCACCAGTCCCACCACCACCACCACTATCAAAACCCGTCAATCACCACTCAGTGGCGGTGACGTCACCACGGCGCCTGTGCCAGGCCAGGTGCACTTTGAGGCCACGTGAAGCATCGAAGGCTCGCTGCTAGCAGGAGGTCTCGGGGCAGACCCTGCAGGTGCCATGGGTTGGCTGACTGAGATGACCGGTCGATCAACCAGCTGTGCCCCCTGCTGTGCCAACTCGCTGCATTTTATCCGCCCGGCGCTCCGCTCGTTGTTGTGGGCATCGCTCCTCTGCCCTCCGTTGTTGCTGGAGGGCGACTGCCTTGAGCTGCCCAGTGGCAGCAGCAGCGTCCTTCACGAGCCTCACCACCATCACCCAACTAAACTCACCACCACCACCACTCACCTCCACTACCACCACCCTCACCAGACTCACCATCACCCCTATCAGACTCACCACCACCCCTATCAGACTCACCACCACCCCTACAGACTCACCACCACCCCTATCAGACTCACCACCACCCCTATCAGACTCACCACCACCCCTATCAGACTCACCACCACCCCTATCAGACTCACCATCACCTCCACCACCCTCACCAGACTCACCACCACCCCTATCACCAGACTCACCATCACCGCCACCACCGACTCAACCACCCCCTCCAGACTCATCTCCACTACCACCACCAGACTCACCACCATCCCCCCAACCAAACTCACCACCACCTCCACTCACCACCATCACCCCAACCAAACTCACCACCACCATCCCTATCAGACTCACCACCATCACCCCAACCAAACTCACCACCACCAACACCACCACCATCCCTATCAAACTCACAACCACCAACCCACCACCACCAACACCCCCACCACCCCGATCAGACTCAACACCACCGTCAGACTCACCACCCCTATCAGACTCAACACCACCATCAGACTCACCACCCCTATCAGACTCAACACCACCATCAGACTCACCACCACCATCAGACTCACCACCCCTATCAGACTCAACACCACCATCAGACTCACCACCACCCCTATCAGACTCACCACCACCCCTATCAGACTCACCACCACCATCAGACTCAACACCACCATCAGACTCAACACCACCATCAGACTCAACACCACCATCAGACTCAACACCACCATCAGACTCACCATCACCATCAGACTCACCACCACCATCAGACTCACCACCCCTATCAGACTCAACACCACCATCAGACTCACCACCACCATCAGACTCACCACCCCTATCAGACTCAACACCACCATCAGACTCACCACCACCCCTATCAGACTCACCACCACCCCTATCAGACTCACCACCACCCCTATCAGACTCAACACCACCATCAGACTCAACACCCCTATCAGACTCAACACCACCATCAGACTCACCACCACCATCAGACTCACCACCCCTATCAGACTCAACACCACCATCAGACTCACCACCACCCCTATCAGACTCACCACCACCATCAGACTCAACACCACCATCAGACTCAACACCACCATCAGACTCAACACCACCATCAGACTCAACATCACCATCAGACTCAACACCACCATCAGACTCACCACCACCCCTATCAGACTCACCACCACCATCAGACTCAACACCACCATCAGACTCAACACCACCATCAGACTCACCATCACCATCAGACTCACCACCACCATCAGACTCACCACCCCTATCAGACTCACCACCACCATCAGACTCACCACCCCTATCAGACTCAACACCACCATCAGACTCACCACCACCCCTATCAGACTCACCACCACCCCTATCAGACTCACCACCACCATCAGACTCAACACCACCATCAGACTCAACACCACCATCAGACTCACCATCACCACCCCAACCAAACTCGCCACCACCACCACCCCCACCATCCCTATCAGACTCACCACCGCCACCCCCAGACTCACCACCACCACCACCGCCGCCACCGGAGCCCTGGAACGTGGAGTAAGACGAGGAGGAGGAGAAGTTGCCGCCGCCGCTGCTGAGGTCGTTGCCGTCCGTGTCGTAATTTCGCGAGGACCCCGACGCCTCGTAGAAGCCTCCCCCACCACCTCCACCTCCTCCTCCTCCTCCTCCACTGCCTCCACGGCGCTTGCGGTTCCTGTTGTTGGCGAACATGGCGAGGCCGGGAGACTCGCGACTCGAGCGAGAATCAGAGAGGGGGGGGGGGGTGCAGGGAGAGGGAATGAGGTGGAGAGGGAATGAGTTAGAGGGGATGAGAGGGAGAGGATAAATGAGAGGGTGGGAATGAGTGAGAGAGAATGAGTGAGAGGGAGGGTGGGAATGAGGAACAAAAACGAGGGATTGAGACGAGAGAGGGATTGGGATTTGGAGTGGAGTGTGAATGAGAGAGAGAATGAACGAGAGAGAGAGAGAACGAGAGAGAGAATGAACGAGAGAACGAGAGAGTGAATGAATGAGAGAATGAGAGAGAGTGAATGAATGAGAGAGATTGAAGAGGGAGCGAGGAGCGACTGTTGAAGGGTTCGCGGTCTCGAGGCCGCAATGGCGGAGCGCAGAGAAAGAGAGCGCGCGCGACGTCTTCCGGAAGAGAGGGCGGCGTTCAGAAACCTCTCTACCGGTCTCGGTAGAGATCTTCCTCTTCCGGAAGAGGGTCTGTATCTTCCAGTAGAGAGGGCGGCGTTCAGAAACTGATCTTCTGACCTCGGTAGAGATCTTCCTCTTCCGGAAGAGGGTGTGTATCTTCCAGTAGAGAGGGCGGTGTTCAGAAACCCTTCATTCCGCCACCGGTTTAAGTCTTCCGGAAGCCGTAGGAGACCTCTGGGGGTTGTTAATGAACTTTTCTACCTTTCCGATAGACGCTCTCTTCCGGAAGACCACGCGCGCGTTCAGAAAGTGTTCTTCTAGAAAAGGAAGATGCCTTTCTCTGCCGGTAGATGAAATGTTTCTTCATCTTCCGGAAGATGTGGTGTTGTTCAGAAACTCGTCTTCCGCCACCGGTAGAAGTGTTTCCAAAGCAGTCGCGCACTTCTGCCTCTTCTGGAAGAGTTGGGGTCGTTCATTAACTCGTCCCCCGGCCCCGGTAGCAAATCTTCGTTGTTTTATTTTATATTTATACCCCATGTGAGAATTATTTTATTTAGTTTTTTTTATTTTATTATTTTATTATTTCCCTTCTACGTGACTGTACCGAAAAAACCAAAGAGTATGAATTCCTGCTTCAAATCTGTATGCTGTAAATGGTTTTAAATAATCAATTTAAATAGTTTTCTTCTAACGGAAGATTTTCTCTTTCCGGAAGATTTGGTGGCGTTCGGAAACTCGTCTTCCTGCACCCGTAGAGAGTTTGTGTTTTTTATTGTTCTCTCCGCCCCCGCGCCCCTCTCTATATTTAAGGCCCCGTCACAGAAACGACCTCTCTCTTTGTGCCGATATGTGTCCTCTCTCTGTGTGTCCTTGTGATGTCTGTCTGCTTGTATGTCTGTCTATAGTTTTCTGGTTAGATTTTTGTTGCTATTTCTTTTATGCCTGATGATGATTGCTTGTGTTGCAATCGAAACGTCGTAATATGCTATTATTTAATTTATTATTTTATCTTTAGACGTCACTTTACCGAAAGAACCAAAGAATGTTTTATTATTGTCATCAACTCGTCTACCGGCTTCGGTAGAGATCATCTTCCTCTTCCGGAAGTGACACGTGCGCGTTCAGGAAGATGTTCTTCTAACAAAGGAAGATGTCTTCCGCCACCGGCGGATAATCTTCCAGAAGAAGTAGCGTTGTTCAGAAACTCGTCTTCCGGCAGCGGTAGACGTCTTCCGGAAGATGCGCGGGTGTCTTTTTGTTCGTCTCCTTTAACGGTCGCGAGATTTGAAAGGGAGCCAATCAGCGGCGAGCGCGGGCGGCACGTGACGACGAACAATGGGCTCGCCGCCATACGTCACCGCCGGGGTCAAGGCATGCGGCGAGGAGCGGTGGCGCAGCGGTTAGCGCCACGCTTAGCTTCGAACCCGGCGACCAGAGTTCGATAAAAGCGGGGTTGGGCCTCCTCTAGGTCGACTCAGCCTCAAAGGAATCCCACTAGGGAGACAAAGGCGGCCGGGCGTGGTGGTGCCCACCCAGCCCCTCGTGTGCCACAGTGCCGGCCTTCACAGGTGCTCGCTAACAGCGCTTGCCCCTACAGTCTGTTCAGGCTACACGGGGGAGCTTAATCTTTGGGGCCGCCCATAAATGACGTCACGCACCTAGTGGGGGGGGGGGGGGGTCAGACATTTGTGACGATGTGTGACGAGGGGGGGGGGGGGTGAGAAATGTGACGTCACATCAAAATGCGCAACTTTAAATAAATATGGACAACACGATCTACTTAATTAAATAGACTTTGTAATAAATATTTTCTCCTACAACATCAGAGTGCAACGCCACATTAAATCCGCACTACAATGACAATAGTTTAAAGCGATTTGAAGCATTTGGGGGGGGGGGGGGTAAAAAAAATCAATAGTTTAAAGCGCTTTGAAGCTTTAAAACTATTGTCATATACTGAAGTGGGCATTGTTGGTGGGCAGCAATTGTTTCTTGCTGTGGTTGTCCCACCTGATGACGGACGCTTGTGTTGTGCCCGAAACGTCGTGGTTTTATTCATTTTGTTTATTTTCTACCCACGTGACTTTACCGAAAGAACCAAAGAGTATGGATCCCCGCAGTCACGAAAGCTTCAAATCTAAACAATTAGTCATTACATTTTGACTTCAAAGTTTGGTGACTGCAGGAATTCACATTCTGTGGTTCTTTTGGTAAAGTCAAGTAGATAGAAGAAAAATAATAACAAAAAAATAATAATCAAATAAAGTGAATAAAAAATAATAATACAAACATCACGACGTTTCGATTACTGGTGTTGCGATCGAAATGTCGTGATATTTTTGTTATTTTTTATTCACTTTACTTTCTTTTTTATTATTTTGTTGTTGTTATTTTTCAACGGGTTTACTTAACTTGACTCCTCTATGGGAACCTCATTTGCCAGTAAAAATATGATAATTGGTTTTTTACCCTTCTATCTGTCAACAAAACTGACACCTTTTTACAAGGAGTCATGTTTGCATAGACCGCAATACCTGCAGTCATAATACAAACAAAAGAACATAACTCTGATAATGTGCACTGACTCCTCTGTTTGTCTGGGTCAAATCTTGTCATTCAAATTTCGTCCACTTCCCGTTGTCCAATTAATTGCACATTTTGCACACGGACTCAAATCCGGTGACAATGCGTGCCTGTATCAAACTCGGCATCAATTAATACATTAATTCGCTTTTTTAAGGCAATTTACATTTTGTATGGACGCCTTATTATTTATATATATATATTTGTGGAGGTCTAAAACGCCGCGGTCCCTAAACTGTGGAATCGGCTCGCACAAAACGCAGGAAACCGCGTGTCTCAGGCGCCATTGACGTCCTTCTCGAAGACCGCGAGTAAATGAAGTTTTCAATAAAACCTTTGTTTTTTAAAAACTTTTTTAAACGAGTTTATTGCTTCAATCTACGTGACTTTGCCGAAAGAAACATAGAAAAAATATTTATATTTCGATTTAAAGCTTTCGAGACTGCAGGGATTAATCTTATTGGTTCTTTCGGTAAAGTCACGTAGAAGGGAAATAATCAAATAATAAAAATGAAACATAATAAAACACAATTCTCACGACGTTTCCGCCACAACGCAAGCAGCCGTCCTCAGGTGAAGAACAGGTCTGTCGGAAAGACAGCGTCTGAATGAGCACCACCAAGCTTGGCAGCGTATATTTAAGCTGGGTTAGAGGAGGAGGGCGCCTTGACAAAGGAATTTGCATATCAACAGAGGAATTTAGCATATTTATGTAAAATGCAGATATGGGATTAGTCACTACTTGTGGAATGTGTAGGTGGTGGGGGGGGGGGGTCTAAAAGTCATATTATGCTCGTGTATTATGTAGGATTAGCAGTAATACAATTCCTTCCCTTTATTACTGCTAATCCTACTTCCTCCCTTTATTACTTGCATTGTCTTTGAAACTGATTGACCGACACATGTGTTTGCATGCTTACCATAAGTAGTGTGTAGCTAATGCCAAATGTTATCTATTTGGTGCTTGAACATCTTAATACACCTGCTTTATTGCCATTCTTATTTTACATATTAGTATGGTGTTTATATTCGTGTGGTGGTGGCGTTGTGGGTTTAATCGCTATCGTTCGTCCGTCTCCTTTACTATCAACGCGGTTTGACTGCATCAGGCGAGGATGACACCATCTGTGGGTACGCGTGGCGCTCATGCAAGCCGTGCTCATGCAAGCCGCGCTCACGCAAGCCGCGCTCATGCGTTAGTGTGCATCCAGGGCCCAGAGCAAGTGTATCATCCAATAGGCCACCCACTCACCCACCTACTCACTCATTCACCCACTCACCCACCTACTCACTCATTCACCCACTCACCCACCTACTCATTCACCCACCCACTCACCCACCTACTCATTCACCCACCCACTCACCCACCTACTCATTCACCCACTAACCCACCTACTCACTCATTCACCCACTCACTCACCCACTCACTCATTCACCCACTCACTCACCCACCTACTCACTCATTCACCCACTCACCCACCTACTCACTCATTCACCCACCCACTCACCCACCTACTCAATCATTCACCCACTCACCCACCCACCTACTCACTCAATCACTCACCCACCTACTCATCACCCACCCACTCACCCACCTACTCACTCATTCACCCACCAACTCACCCACCTACTCATCATTCAACCACTCACCCACCTACTCATTCACCCACTCACCCACCCACTCACTCATTCACCCACCCACCCACTCACCCACCTACTCACTCATTCACCCACCCACTCACCCACCGACTCACTCATTCACCCACTCACCCACCTACTCAGTTATTCACCCACTCACCCACCTACTCACTAATTCACCCACCCACCTACTCATTCACCCACTCACCCACCTACTCACTCACCCACCCACTCACCCACCCACCCACCCACTCACCCACCCACCAGGGCCGTATTATTCAATAGGCCAGTCGGCACTGTGCCTAGGGCAGACGAAAACAAAACGTGACCGTGTTTTTTTGTATGATAAAAATGTAACCAAGATATCCTCTTGAATAAATATATTTATTTAGCAAGGATAGGCAACAGTGTATATACACAAAAAGGCAGAGTCATGTCAATGTCAAACTTTTTTTTTCATAAGGTGAGAGACATGAACACTGGAGATTAACTTTTAGAAAACATTTTCATTGCAAATTAGCAATGACATCTTCAAATGGTGTATTTTCGCACAATCTCATTCTCAATAGAGAGAAGTAGTGCAAATGGAAGACAAGGCGGTGGTGTTGTCCTATGGTTGATCGGAGACAGTCTTTTTTTAATCAGCTTTAGCGAGCGACAGAAACAGTAGTGTAAAGATAGTGTGTCGGCAAGCTCCAGGAAGGTTCGGGAACTCGCCAAAGGGTTCAAGATCAAAGGCGGGGACAGCGGTGGGGTGAGGGCCACGCCGGAGATCTAAAGGGGGCAAGGAGCGAGGTTCGGGGCTGTTGGTTGGGACTCGGTCAACGTCGCTGTCTTCCCGTCGACTGTCTCCGCATCGCCGCTATCTCGTGACGCCGCGGTCTTCAAGTCAAGTTCAAGTTTCAATAAAGAAACCCTCAACAGTCTGTTCCCGAAGTCATTACAACAGTAACATGGGCAGTAGTAGTGAATATAAAGAGTTATCACTGAAGGCCTACGAAACAGAAGTACCTGGGGCCTACAAGAACCTTAATCCGGCCCTGATTATAGCCGCGAATTTGTGTGAATTCTCAGCTGGGGTTGGTCCTGGTCAGGTTTGTGGATGAGCTAGTGGCAAGGCTTCACAGGCGACTGTTCACGATCGAACATTTCCTGTTGTAGCTATCGCTACGTTAAAGCAACACAGTGGCGAGGCTTATAGATCAATGGAGGCTATGGTACTGTCAACCGAATGTTCATCGTGGAGGAATCCGCTGGGCTATGATGTCGGCGCCGTCGTGGAGATAATCATTTAATTATATTCACGGGTGTTAATAACTTTCTTTTTTTATAAATTAATATAACAATTAAAGATGATTTAGAATTGTTTCGTTAGGAAAACAGAGGGAGATGGAGAGAGAGGGTGGGAGAGAGTGGGGGATATGGGGAGGGAGTGAGGGAGATGGGAAGAAAGAGGTGAGGGAGTGAGAGGGAGATGGGGAGAGGGGAGGAAAGGAGATGTTGAGAGAGAGGTGAGAGAGTGACGGAGATGGGGGGAGAGAGGGGAGGGAGTGAAAGGGAGATGGGGCTAGAGAGGAGAATGAGGAGGCTTACCGCAACCTCCGCTTGGGGGTTCGGAGAGCCGTGCATGGTCGCGCGTTGCTGAGGAGCGAGGCTGGATTATGGACCGGGCCAGCGGGGCCAGTGACCCGGGGCCTCGGACTGCCAGAGGGCCTCCAAGCCTCAGGCCGCTCACGGTGCGTGGACCAAGACTTCCGGAGGAAGTTGAACGCCAGGGCCCTCAGTGCGCACAGCGCAAGCTGACCACGAGGCCCCTGGGTGCTTAAAATGTGAGCTCACCACTAGGGCCCCCAGACCCCTAGGCGCTTACAGTGTGAGTGCTCCCAGATCCCTTGTCGTTTAAAGACTGAACAGACCGCTAGGGCCCCTAGGCTCCTGGGGCTTAAAGCGCGAGTTGACCACTCGGGCCCCCAAGCCCCTCGGTCCATACATCGAGCGTAACGCCTGGGGGCCCCTTGGTACACACAGTGCATGCTTAAAACGAGAGCCTCTTGGAGAGTGCAGTGCTTCTGTACAACTGAGCCACTGGTTGGCAAGCTAAAATACGCTGTGACGTGATAGAATATTAACCAACAAGTCAGTTCATTTTGCACAACAGGACAGTTTGAAGGGCGTCATATTATGGCAAGTTTGGCGGAAAAGGAAAACTCGCCAAACAATAGCAGATGAGACTCGGGATGCCAAATATTTTTCAATAATTGCTGACTCCACCCCAGACCTGTCACATGTGGATCAATTGACGTTCATATTCCGGTTCGTTAACAGCAGCGGGAATGTGGTGGAGCGATTCCTGGGCCTTGAGCCAATCGAGAGCCACACTGGTAAAAGTTGAGCAGACTGTGTGACTTTGATGGTGGAGGGCCTTGAGTTGGACCTCTCAAACTGTAGAGGTCAGTCACATGACAATGCAAACAACATTTCAGGAAAATGCAATGGGCTTATAGGCCCTCCTGAAACAAAACCCCCCTCTGATAGAGTTTGTGCCTTGCGCAGCACATTCACTTAGCTTAGTTGGTGTTAACACCTTAGACGGCAGTAGCCCAGAGGCTGACGAGTTTTTAAACATGTTGCAGTCACTGTACACGTTTTTCTCTTCATCCACACACAGATGGGGGAAAGTCTTTCGGAAGACGTCAGACTGGCATTAAAATCGCTGTCCAGTACTCGGTGGGGTGCTCGGGCAGAGTCAACCAAGGCACTGTGGAGAAATGACACCCACATTAGAGAGGCCTTTGGTGGTGTGTGCAATGATGGTAATGACAAAAGAGATACTCGAATTGAGGCCGCTGGACTATGTGCTAAATTGGACACCTTAGAGATGGTGTTCATGGCACATTTCTGGGGCGTCATACTTGACCGGTTCCACGCTACAAGCATGCACCTACACAAAAGTGACATTGACATCTCTGTAGTAGCACAGCTTTTGTCTTTGTTGAGGGATTTTGTGGCGGGACAGTGAGACCAGTTTGAGGCATTTGAAAGGGCAGCCTTAAATGTGACAGGTGTATGTCAGTCATCTAAGCACGATCTTCAGCGAAAAAGAAAACGCAAAACATTTGCAGATGAGAGCTCAGAGCCAGGTGTGACACTTGAGGGGAGGAAAAAGTTCAAAATAGAAACATTTATGTGGCCATTGATAAGCTTGTGGCATGCCTTGAACATCGCTTGGACACTTACAAGCATTTGACCAGTCTCGTTGGAGTTCTGTTTATGTCAGATCAGGTGCCTTACAGTGATGTCAAGTCTTTCATGTCTGACACTGAGGGTGAGAAGTGCCCAACTAAATTGCTTGAGACGTTGCAGGCACTTAATCTGCAGTCAGTGTTCCCCAATGTTTTCGTGGCACTTCGGATTTTTCTAACTTTCCCAGTGACAAACTGCAAGGGTGAGCGGACATTTTCCCTTTTAGGCAGAATAAAAAATGATCTGCGGAGTAGCATGTTGCCAAACACGTCTCAGCTCATTGTCCCTTATGTCAATAGTCAGACCTGGTCAGACAGCGAGATTTTGACGACCTAGTGGATGGTTTTGCGAGAAGTAAGGCAAGAAAGACACCAATATAGGAAAGCGGGGGGGGGGGGGGGGCTCCAAAAGACATGTGCCCAGAGGCCTAACGGGACCATGATCCGGCCTTGCTGAGGAGATGGAATCTGCCTCAGTAGTCAGCGATCACAAATCACTCTTGAATTCCATTAAAAAGTTACTGATTCATCCATGAAGAGCAGAGAGCATCAGGCAAAATTCCAAAGCATGAGGCTAAAACACAGCTGCTCGATTAACATTACGACAGCATTTATTTATGAATGGCAATGTTTGTACCACCTCAGCTTTGCTGTGGCCACACGAGAGGCCCCGACCGTAGCCAACGACACCAGTCTGTGGGGGCAAATAACGAGTTCTCCTGGTTACATGGGTTTGTTTTTTACATTCACAGGTACGGATGGCCACATTGGAGTACCATTCAAGGGGCGTGTCTCGTGACCTATCTACAGTATATTTAACCCTCCAGTAAACTCAGTTTGCCAGCCGTGCAAATGCGAGGGTGTGTATCTCGTGAGAGATATAAATATCTGTAGTTCTACTGACCTCACCGGCCCCTTTCCGCAGCGTCCCCATTCCCCGACTGCCTCGAATGATGGCGAGCGCACCCTCTGCGACTGTCGACCGTGAGCTGAGCTGCCCCATCTGCCTGGCCACGTTTGACTGCCCCGTCATACTCGACTGTGGGCACGCGTCCTGTCCCGAGTGTCTGGAGGACTGCTGGAAGCAAGGCAGTCGCTTCAGCTGCCCACAGTGCCCAGGAGTTCTCTCTGAGCGACCGCAACGTAAGCAGAACGTGGAGCTCACCAACCTGGCGGGCAAGCTCAGAGTTGGAGATGAAGTGGCCTTCACTGCCGAGCGCAATGCCCTCGATGACCCCAAGGCTCCTGCAGTGAAGAACTGTCCGAAACGTGAGAAGCCATCTTCTGTGATGCCCCTAAAGCCCCACGCAGAGACTCGCAAGTTGACGAAGCAGATGCCTCCCATCGTGAGCTCGGATCAGCGAAGATGCAAGAAGCATGAGCAGGAGTTCGAATTCTACTGCAAGAAGGAAGTGTGCCTGGTCTGCAAAACCTGCACTGTCACCTGTAAACGTTCAAAGCACGTTGTCAAGACGTTGGAGGATGAGCATAGGATACGGAAGGTGAGTCCTTCGTGGTGTTAGCTGGAGTTACTCAGACACCGTTCATACCACAACACGAGATGATTCTCAATACAATATTTAAAAATACTTTTTTTAAAAACACGCTTTAATAAAATGTACTGTCCGAGCTGCCCCTCCCCCTGCCCCCTTCCCCTGCCCCCTTCCCCCATCCCTCCTCCCCTCCTTCCCCCGCCCCTCGGCGTGGCTCCTAGAGGCTTGCCGTGACGTAAGGGACCCCGTGGTGATTTACAGGCAACGTGAGTTGAGCGTCGACAATTCGAGCCGTAAAAAAGATTGTTTAAAAAAATTATATATTTTAAATGTTTAATGATAGATTATAGTATTGTCATCAGTATGACATGGCTATACCAAGTTTGCAGTCGATACAACATTGGGAATACGGTTGAAATTGAGTTACAAGACTTTAGGATACAACACGCAGAGTAAGTTAAATAAAAGCGTGTAAAATGTAAAAAAATATATGTTTTGGATTTTTTATGATAGAATATAATATTGTCATCAGTATGACAGGTATTTTAAGTTTGCAGTCGATAGCACATTGGGAAGTGGGTACAAATTTAGTTACAATATTTCATTTTTGAGGATACAACAGACGGAGTGAGTTAAATAAAAGCGTGAAATATTAATAAAATACACTAAACTACAGTGTTTTATTTTACTAGTGTAATAAAAGACTTTGCCCACACACTGCTTGGTCTCAGTCACTCTTTATTCTGGTTGACGCTCGCACTCCGCTGGTCCCGACAGCGGACCAGCTGCTCCTCACGCGCGCCCCGCACGCGCTCTCCCATCAATCACTCCGCTCCCCGCTTCCGCACACCGCTGGCCGACGGTGTGCTCCAAGCTCCTCCAGCCACGTGGCTGATTGCGCGGATCCCCTCCGGCCACCCAACGTGGTCCAGCTTCGTGACGCTACCAACTGACCTGGAGCCCTTCCGGGATCCCACCTATATCCCTCTCACCACGTGACCCTGTCTCCTCCCTCTCACCACGTGACCCTGTCTCCTCCCTCTCACCACGTGACCCTGTCTCCTCCCTCTCACCATGTGACCCTGTCTCCTCCCTCTCACCACGTGACCCTGTCTCCTCCCTCTCACCACGTGACCCTGTCTCCTCCCTCTCACCACGTGACCCTGTCTCCTCCCTCTCACCACGTGACCCTGTCTCCTCCCTCTCACCACGTGACCCTGTCTCCTCCCTCTCACCACGTGACCCTGTCTCCTCCCTCTCACCACGTGACCCTGTCTCCTCCCTCTCACCACGTGACCCTGTCTCCTCCCTCTCACCACGTGACCCTGTCTCCTCCCTCTCACCACGTGACCCTGTCTCCTCCCTCTCACCACGTGACCCTGTCTCCTCCCTCTCACCACGTGACCCTGTCTCCTCCCTCTCACCACGCCCTTCACCGAACCTTCCAGATCCGGCCTCCGCATAGCGCCTTGCTGGCTCCGCCTTTAGGTTCCGCCCCCGCTCACCTCGCATCCGATTGGGCCCGAGGTGAGCGGCGGACCTTCACATACGCCCCCATACTGGGCCTCGCCCCCCAATACCCTGGGCCGTATGATTGGCCCAGAGCCGAGCAGCGAACTCCGCTTACGCTCACATTACACTAGGTAAGGCCCACTGAGCTATATAGCTATTTTTCAGAAGCGACCTGGCCACAAACGATAGCTCAACGAAGTGGCTTATAACGTGAACATGTATAGTAGCAACCAAATACTCTAAACGCGTGTTGTTTCTAAATGTGAAGGGAAAACTCTAGGACATGGAGAAACATACACGCGGCCACGGGGAGAATATGCAAGCTCCAAATCTATAGGCATCAGGGCAGTGACGTGCGGTGAGGTCAATGGCTGGGGAGGCACTGGTTAAGACACGCCCTCCTCAGTGAGGCAGACGTGATAGCTGCCTCCCCTGGTGCTTTTTTATTGCAGTTTCATGACGAGACCAGCGAGCCTAAATATATTTATAGACATACGTGAAATAAGTTACCTGGACTATGGAAGGCGAGGACATGTAATGAAGGGATCTACAAACATTACATTGGTGACATACAGAGAAATAGTAACAGGCACGCGCTTATTGCCCGCGCTCCATCCAGTTTCTGAGGGGTTGCGCAATCAGAGGGGAGGCTGAGCTCGTCACTGCCTCACCTCTCGTCTCTTCCTGTTTTTGCAGCGGAGCTCCGCAAGTTTGGCGATTTTGACTATAAAAATTATTGGAATGATATTTATATCACAGATCAGTGGAACATTCCTAATATTTATTTTGTTATTATTATATATTTTTTAACTTTTCGTAACCGCTATTTCCATTGGAGTATGCCAGGTGAGGCTCTGCCTCCCCTGCCTCCCCTGACCCCACGTGACTGCATCAGGGTCAGGATCGGACCCATGACCTCCTGCATACCAGGCGAGGGAGATAACATCTTACCACCATGGCGAGATGTGCCACCAGTCATAACAACAATTCAACTTGTTAAGTGATGAGAACTACCCATCACGTAAGACCATCGATTCAGTAGAATTACAGTGTGGCCGTGTGGTCATTTTGACCGTTAGCTCTGGAGAATACAGCGGTAGTGATGATGAGGAGGAGGGGACGTAATGAGGAGGTGTGGAGTTGTAACGAGGAGGAGGTGTGGAGTGGTGACGGGGTGTGGGGTGGTGACGAGGAGGTGTGGGGTGGTGACGAGGAGGTGTGGGGTGGTGACAAGGAGGAGGTGTGGATTTAAGTCTTCCTCTGGTGACGTCTCGGCCTCTCACAGGAGCGAGTCAGAGGGGAGACGCGAGCGGTGGATAAGAAGAGGAAGAAGGCGGAGGCGTCACTTGGACGGAATGAAGCTGCTCGCAAGGACGTGCAGGTACCACAGGGTTGCACTGGGGCCCTAAGCTCAGAAATGTAGTCCGTCACGTGATAGACTCACGTGGTAGTGAGTAGTCCGTCACGTGATAGACTCACGTCATAGTGAGTAGTCTGTCACGTGTTAGACTCACGTGGTAGTGAGTAGTCTGTCACGTGTTAGACTCACGTCATAGTGAGTAGTCTGTCACGTGATAGACTCACGTCATAGTGAGTAGTCTGTCACGTGATGGACTCACGTCATAGTGAGTAGTCTGTCACGTGTTAGACTCACGTGGTAGTGAGTAGTCTGTCACGTGTTAGACTCACGTCATAGTGAGTAGTCTGTCACGTGTTAGACTCACGTCATTGTGAGTAGTCTGTCACGTGTTAGACTCACGTGGTAGTGAGTAGTCTGTCACGTGATGGACTCACGTCATAGTGAGTAGTCTGTCACGTGATAGACTCACGTCATAGTGAGTAGTCTGTCACGTGATGGACTCACGTCATAGTGAGTAGTCTGTCACGTGTTAGACTCACGTGGTAGTGAGTAGTCTGTCACGTGATGGACTCACGTGGTAGTGAGTAGTCTGACACGTGTTAGACTCACGTCATAGTGAGTAGTCTGTCACGTGTTAGATTCACGTGGTAGTGAGTAGTCTGTCACGTGATAGACTCACGTCATAGTGAGTAGTCTGTCACGTGATGGACTCACGTCATAGTGAGTAGTCTGTCACGTGTTAGACTCACGTGGTAGTGAGTAGTCCGTCACATGATGGACTCACGTGGTAGTGAGTAGTCTGACACGTGTTAGACTCACGTCATAGTGAGTAGTCTGTCACGTGTTAGACTCACGTGGTAGTGAGTAGTCTGTCACGTGATGGACTCACGTCATAGTGAGTAGTCTGTCACGTGATGGACTCACGTGGTAGTGAGTAGTCTGACACGTGTTAGACTCACGTCATAGTGAGTAGTCTGTCACGTGTTAGACTCACGTCATAGTGAGTAGTCTGTCACGTGATGGACTCACGTGGTAGTGAGTAGTCTGACACGTGTTAGACTCACGTCATAGTGAGTAGTCTGTCACGTGTTAGACTCACGTCATAGTGAGTAGTCTGTCACGTGATGGACTCACGTCATATTGAGTAGTCTGTCACGTGATGGACTCACGTGGTAGTGAGTAGTCTGTCACGTGCTAGACTTGCGTTGTGGCGAGTAGACAAAAACCGTCCAAAAATAATCAGATTTGTTCAGCAAGCTAGATTCCGTAGTTGATGAATTCCTGAAAATAGCCACGTTAAGTAAAAACAACTTCCCCATAAAAAATGTATTGGCGATCAAGTTTGGCGAGATGCGATGTCATACTACGCACACCATACATGGAGATGGCGTGACAAACAACTGAGGATACGCCGCTACTGCATTACTGCTTGATTCCGCGTACTGTATCAATCTACTGATCAGCCACGCAGTCGTGGTCGACCGCTCAGAAACCGCGTTATAACGGGGCGCGTTCTGCATTCTAACGGGGGCACATTCCACGTTCTGCGTTGTGCGAAAAAGTGTTCCCTTGTGGAAGAACCGTGTTATTATTATAGCGACAACGCATCGCGTGATTGTCACGCGATTCGCAAGTTCAACATACACACAAGCATGCAAGCGAGGACTCACCGTAGTCTAATTTGCAAGAGGGATGCAGTTTGCTAGCCACTACACCACCAACTTAGCGATGGAGCCCTGAATAGGAATTCATGAAACACACCACGTGTCCTTGCAGGAGTCCATTGCCCAAACCAAGGCTCGCATCTCAGGCAATTTCGCCCTCATGAGGGCGACGCTGGATGAGGATGAGAGGACGGCTCTGGATCGTGTGGACACGAAGGGCTGCCGGCTACTCTCCCAGATCGACAAGAACATCGCTCATTACGAGCGCGAGGTCCGCGAGCTCCAGGCAGCGGCCACGTGCCTGGAGGCTCTGGAGGAGGAAATGGACTCGCTCGCATTCCTCAAGGTGAGCTACCACGGCACCAGGGCAAGTGTGCAATGTTGTTTTCTGGTGCTGTCAATATTATTACTTTACCAGGTAAGGCTCACTGAGCTATCTAGGCCCTTTTCAGAAGCGAACCTGGCCACAAATGATAGCACAAAAAGTGGCTTATCATGTGGCAATTTAGAGCAGACAAATATGAACGCACGTTGATTCTAAATGTGGATGGAAAAACAGGAGAATCCGGAGAAAAATCCACACGATAACGGGGAGAACATGCAAACTCCAAATATACAGCAGGCGTCAGGGTCGGGACCGAACCTACGACATCCTGTGTACCAGGCGAGGGAGTTAACATCTCACCACTGTAACACACCGCTCCCCACCCCAGCTCTGTGATTCGTCTTTGAGGGATATATGTCATCGCGCTTACGCAACTTGTTTCACGGTTCATGTGCTCGAGGAAAAACAAAAAAGTTACTATAAATAGCCCAAAGCTCCTCCACGAGCAGCAGCAGCAGGAGAAACCCACGGAAGCGTTCAAGAAGTCCTGGATCTGAATGATTATTTGTTGTTAAACTCCTAATAAATAATAGTATGAAGTATTACATTTATACGTATTTTATAAATTGAGGGCTAAAATAATGATCTGATACTTAACATGTCTTCGGTAACGCAACCTCTCCCTATACCATGTATGTCTATGTGAAATAGGATTCATGCAGCGCGATTCGACTTACGAACAGTTTTTCATGAACGCATGTCGCGCGTACTGTGAGATACGCCTGTACAATGTTTTATGTGCTTCTTTTGAAACGTGGTTGTGTTTATAGAGCATTGATATAAACTTGCTATGTGTGACAGCGAGAGACATGGCGAGTGAGCGAGATGACTCTTATGCACGCAAAGATGCCAGAAAAAAAACTCCGTTAGAGCGACGTGCGATTCCGCGTTATAATCGGTTGGAAAAAAATAAAGGAGATATGAATTTTTTGTTTACTCTTTCAATCGGTTATATGACAACAATTTAAAGGTATTCCTCGACGGGACCCTCTTGACCTGGCAGTAGCTTCGGGCCTCAGCACTTATCAGCAGAGGTGGGACAAAGTCATTGTTATGCAAGTCCAAGTCGAGTCTGAAGTCATCAAATTCATGACTCGAGTCTGACTCGAGTCCAAGTCACATGACTCGAGTCCACACCTCAGAGGTGGGACAAAGTCATTGTTATGCAAGTCCAAGTCGAGTCTGAAGTCATCAAATTCATGACTCGAGTCTGACTCGAGTCCAAGTCACATGACTCGAGTCCACACCTCTGCTTATCAGAAACCGGCCTTGCATTGATGGCTGAGCGCAGCCAATCTCCCCACAGCTATCGATTGTCGCGTGTTGAACGTGACTGAGGAATACCTGACTGACGCTGCCCTGTATCTGACTCCTGCAGATTCACCTGGAGAAAAGCAGGTATTGACTCACCAGATCACGAGGCTGCACACACGAGGTGAAGCTGTTTTCGGGGACAATGGCTGTGTGTGACGTACATCAGAGGAATGTCAACGTGTCGAGATCCTTTCGCACCGTACGTAGCCAACCATGTCCATAGGAAGGTGTGGGGGAAGGCCAACAAACTAAACACAAAAAACTGTTCTCAAGAATGAGTTTTCAGTCTAAATTTCAAAGTGCATAGCTGCAGTGGCTTCCTAAACTCAGAAGGAAGAGCATTCCAGACGGCTGCAGAAGCGCCTCTGAAAGCGCCACACGATGCGGTGACTTTCTTTGTTCGATGGCGAGCCTAAAGCCGCCGCTGCTGCGAGGATGAGCGGAGTTTGCGTGATGGTTGATGCTCCTTGACGAGATCAGCAAGGTGTTGTCGTTCATTTGTGGCAAGCACTTTGTGTGTAACGTATTAATTTGGCAACCAGAAGCCAATGCAGCTTGACGAGCACTGGATGGACATGGTAGGATCTTATAGTTGTACACGCATCAGCTTGGCAATGTGATGCTGATGCATGGGACACTGCAAGTGCGATGATGATTCTGTGTTTGAGTCGGAGTTGATTCGATGTGTTACACGGAGGGTCAAATGTTGCAGAGATCGAGTAAAGGGTCCTTAAACTAAACACGTGAATAAAAAAACTGAAATTATAATGAGAGCAAGTGATGCCACAGAAGGTACAGGCTGTGTGTGATGGTGCTGAGTAAGACACTGGCTGTGTGATGGTGCTGAGTGAGACACTGGCTGTGTGTGATGGTGCTGTGTGAGACACTGGCTGTGTGATGGTGCTGAGTGAGACACTGGCTGTGTGTGATGGTGCTGAGTGAGACACTGGCTGTGTGTGATGGTGCTGAGTAAGACACTGGCTGTGTGATGGTGCTGAGTGAGACACTGGCTGTGTGTGATGGTGCTGTGTGAGACACTGGCTGTGTGATGGTGCTGAGTGAGACACTGGCTGTGTGTGATGGTGCTGTGTGAGACACTGTGTGTGATGGTGCTGAGTGAGACACTGGCTGTGTGTGATGGTGCTGTGTGAGACACTGTGTGTGATGGTGCTGAGTGAGACACTGGCTGTGTGTGATGGATGCTGTGTAAGACGTTGGGTGTGTGTGATGGTGCTGAGTGAGACACTGGCTGTGTGTGATGGTGCTGTGTGAGACACTGTGTGTGATGGTGCTGAGTGAGACACTGTGAGTGATGGTGCTGAGTGAGACACTGGCTGTGTAAGACGCTGGCTGTGTGAGTCACTGGTGGTGCCGTTTGCTGGTTCTGATCTCACAGGACAGAGGGCTCCAAGGGAGCTCCGACCTCATCTCCCAGCCCAGAAGACATTGCCGCGATCAGTGCTCTGCAGGGAGTCGTCGTGAAACTGCTGGCGTTTATGTGTGAGTAACACCAGCTCTTGCCACATGTGTGTAAATGTATGTGGGGAGTGGTGGCATAGCAGTTAGCGCGCTGCTTTACGAACCTGGTTACCTAAGTTAGATACCCAATCACGGCCACCAACACCAGGGATGATGATCTGAACTGGTCCTAGGTCTCCCCTAGGTGAACTCAGCCTCATGTGAGCACCTGATGTGGTGTGTAGTAAACATCGCCACTCTAGAGAAAAGGCGTCCAGGCATGGTACTGGCCACCCACCCCCCTCATGTGCCATGGTGGCCTTCATAGGTTCTTGCCAACAGCATTTGCCCCAACAGTCAACGCGGAACGCGCTCCATTATAACACGGAATGTGCACCGTTATAGCACGGAACACACTCTGTTATGAAGCAGAACACGCGCCATTTTAACGCGGAAAGTGTACCATTATAACGCGGAACGTGCTCCGTTATAACGTGGAAAATGTTCCATTATCACGCAGAAAGCTCATAATTATAATGCGGAAAGTGCACCATTTTAGCGCGGAACGTGCTCCGTTATAAGGTGGAGCATGTTCTATTATAACGCGGAAAGTGCATTGTGATGTGGAATGCGCACCGTTATAACGCGGTTTCTGAGCGGTCAACGACGAACTATTTTGTTGAGCTGCGCGCCTGAGTGGTACAATGATCCAGTCGGCAGAATGAAACAGTAACGCAATGGCGGCGTGCCCTGAGTTGTTTGTCTCGCCCTCTCACTGCATGGTGAGCATAGTAGTCCATCGTATCTTGCCAACGTTATCATTATTACATTAATTTATGAATAATTTATTATTACTTCACACTTTTTTCGCTAAATGTCCAACTCTTTAGGAATGCATCTACTGCTAGCGCGTTGAACAAAGACATCCTGTACAAGTACACATTATCTTACTGGTAGTTATGTACTAATATTTATAGATATGAAAGTGCTTTATTACAACAGAAAACCATTTTTTAAATACATAAACGCTCTTGATATACTCGTACTGTTATTATAAACGCATTGTTGTTATCGTTACTACAGATGGACGCTCACCAACTCTGGACCCAAACTCAGCCCACAATGACCTCCAGATTTCGTCAGATCTCAGGACGGTTACCCTAACCCCCGTCTCGCAGCGTCGCCCTAAACACCCACACCGCTTTGATTCGTATGCCCAAGCCCTGTGCTCCGAGAGCTTCTCGTCGGGTCAGCACTACTGGGAGGTGAATGTGGAAGGCTTAGATTACTTTGAGATTGGAGTCGCGTATGGGACAATACCACGGAAGGGGATCGGAGTTTCTAGCTTGGGTAAGAACGACTCATCCTGGGTTTTGTGTAAACATGAACACACCTGCTCAGTGGTCCATGATGGGTTAGTGACCTCATTGCTAGTCAGGGATCCTCCCCAGAGAGTTGGGATTCACCTGCACTGGGAGGCAGGGCTCCTGTCCTTTTATGATGCGCGCACAATGGAACTGCTACACTCGGTTGAGCACACGTTCACTGGGGCTCTCTACCCAGCGCTGTATTTAGATGACGATTATCGTGACACTATGACGATTCTGGATCTGAGTTGCGCGTCACGTGAGTACTTTGTGTGAATAACACAGATAACATACACAGCACACACACACATCACACAGACACATATACAACAACAGCCGCCATTCACAATTAAATGGTGGTCATGTGCCACGCTAGGTGTAATTTGAGGCCATGTGAAATGTGGATGGCTCGCTGCTGGTTGGAGATCACAGAACAGACCCAGGTGCCATAATGTTGCACACTCGAAATGAAGGACGTGGGCAGGTGCTCCAAATCGAGGGAAAAACATTTATTGTGGTAAATCTGTAAAATGCAACAGCACGTTTGTCACACACAGCAATCCTCAACCGAGTCGCCATTAACCACGTGACTGGTATACAAGTCCGGTTAATTAATAACCCTGCCAGCTACCCACAGGCCCAACTCAGTCATCACATGCTGGTGTACACACGTGCATTAATGTACTGCACAGCATATAAGGACTTTCACAAAACCACACTCCCTTGCTGCACGAGGAGATAATTAAAAGAGTGTTCCATTCCTAATGTACTGAGAGGACGAGCAGATGCACCACCTATGCTCCCCACTTCACCAACTTGCTATGTTTTAGCTGCCCGCAGCTCCACTAGTTGTGAGTATTGCTTTGCTGTCTGGAACAAGCCAAAAGTGACCTTCACGAGTCTCTATCAAATAGGCCGATATTGACACTGCTGGTAACAGTCATCGGCAAGTCAACCCAGCTCTACAACCTCCTTCATCACATCCGCCCATCTTTTCTCTAGTCTGTGCTGCGTCCATTTGCACCCGTCTCTATCCGGCCAAATAGAAGCTGCTTGGGCATGCAGTGGCTGGGTATATGGGTTACCCAGCCAATGCTGCCTCACCTGGAATAGGAGCTAAAGATGTGGCCCATGTCCAGTCTAGTTTCAAACCAGCCAAGACGATCTTTAAAGGGGTCCACATTTTGCAAACATACCTGTGGCTGAGAAGACTCGAAGCTGCAAATGGAGTGACAGACCAGGTAGGTTCCACACAGCGTGACGCAGCCAATAAAAATATATAATTATGTTCGACTGATTCAGAATGAGAACTCAGCTGCCAAAATGGCACTGGCCATTGTCTCCACAACTGTTTCACCATTCGTGGGGAGGTGAGGGGGTGGAGTATTTGATGACAATAAATATGCAGGCAGGTGCTTTGTTTTGGTGGAGCTGATGGTAAGGCCCAATCTCCTAGTATAACCTTCCAGGTTCAACGGTAGAGTTATAACTCTTTCTCAGAGTGAACAGCAATTACAACCAGTTCAACAGCATCGATAACATGGTTGACCGAAATGCAACCATCCCTTGACCACATCCGGGCATAGATCAGCCTCCCATTGTATTTGTATCAGATAGTAATCCTCCAGTACAGCCATGGAAAGATTCTCAAATCACGTGGTAAAAACTATGTAAAATAGTGTATGATGCAAAGAATATCCCTGTCGCACCTCAAGGTGAACAGGAAATGGCTCCAATCCACGTGGGCACAGAGAATGCTCAGTAATCCATTGCGCATCTATACTGTACAACCATCGGCGTGCATAATACGTGTATATTATTGATATATTAAGATATATCTCCTTGCCTATTATACTATATGCATTACATGAAAGAGACTATAGCCAATCTTAATTTGAAGCTTTCGTGACTGCGGGAATCCATACTCTTTGGTTCTTTCGGTAAAGTCACGTAGGTAGAATAAAATAAATCACGACGTTTCGAACGCAACGACAAGCACCCGCCTTCAGGTGAACATCGCGGCAGCTGCGATGCCTGCTGCGAGCAGCATGATGTCTGCTCCCTTGTGAAGAGAAGCTGTTACCAGCAAGCGTTTATATAAGTTTTGAGAACAAAGGCAGCCTAAGTAGTGTTAATGGGGTATTATTATTACCTTTACACTATAATAACCCATTAACGTCGTGATTTAGACAATAGCCAGTCAGGGACGCTAAAACTTTGGCGCCATCTAGCGCCTCAATGTTCGCCGTGCAGCGTAAACCATGTTCGTCTTAATAGTGAAGTTCGTCATTCTCCAGTGTGTTATGGTGAGGTACAGAGTACACATAGTACACATAGGGCCTGTTCTCCGCACCAAATGCTTCAATGTGTAGTGACAGGGTGCAATCTGCTGACCATGGGAGCTAATTACGGGTATGGGTGCGTTATAGAACAGCGCACATAAGCATCTACAAGGGGGGCATAACTGAGTCAAGGGTCAAGGAGAGGCTCGATCTGGAAGCTCCTGGAACCAGCAAGAGAGTTCTGGAAGTGGGGCGTAGCCAAGGGCGGGGCTTGGCCGCGCTAGAGGGATATAAGGGGGTTCAGGGCTGTCGTGGGGGTTCGGGTCCTGGAGGTCTGGGACTGGTGTTGTTGTCTTGGTGTGGTCTGAGGCTGTTGTTGTTGTTGTCTTGGTGTGGTCTGGGACTGTTGTTGTCTTGGTGTGGTCTGGGACTGTTGTTGTTGTCTTTGGGTGGTCTGGGGCTGTTGTTGTTGTTGTCTTGGTGTGGTCTGGGACTGTTGTTGTTGTCTTGTTGTGGTCTGGGGCTGTTGTTGTCTTGTTGTGGTCTGGGACTGTTGTTGTTGTCTTTGGGTGGTCTGGGGCTGTTGTTGTTGTCTTGGTGTGGTCTGTGACTGTTGTTGTCTTGGTGTGGTCTGGGGCTGTTGTTGTTGTGTTATCTTGCCCAAAGCTTGCATTTAGTGTTGAAACATCGGTAGGAATCTATGTACTTTTGCAATTTGTGCTTATATAATATCTTCGTAACTTACCTTTTCTCTATTTTACACTCGTCTTGTTTTTGTATGGTTTGTGGCTGTACCTTGCTGACCTCATGCCTTACTGGACATCTGTGACAAAGCGCTTTGTAGCTAATCGGATCCCTCCTCCTGCAGTTTAAATACTGATTGTGAGCCAAGTCATCAGGACAGCCATGCAGGTGATTCAATTTAATAAAAAGAGTTGAATGCTGGCTGATTGTTTGTGATTGGCAGGTCAGATTATTGGAATGAGGTGAATCTATTTTAAGTGGTTGGTGAAAATAGGCTTAATTATATTAAGGTGTATTGTGCTTGTTATAAAGCTGGAGTTGTAATGCTGTTGTGATTGTAGCATAAATTGGTTCAGTTAATTTTTGTTAATTTTTTTGGTAAAGCCCTGTGAGCCATTCGGCTCTTGAATCGGGTGCAACCGCCACAAACAAAAACATGAACAAGAAACATCTTAAAGTGACTACGCGCAACAGAAAAATCCAGGAAAAAACAGCAAAGTCTTCCAGAAAAAGAACCGCATATCAACGCTGTGTACAAAAATCCCAGTGGGATGCAAGTCAAACAATAACAACCATAAGACAATTTAGATTAAAGTTATCAGTCTAACTCTGTACTTCAATAAACAAACATGGCTAAACCAAAACATTTTCGAAATCACCAAAATAAAGCTATGAAAACAATGTAATGGTGATCATAGGATCTGTGATTGAAATTTAACAATAAAATCCATAACAGCAGGAGTATCAGTAGGAGTATCCAAATGTTTCAATGCACCTTTAATTGATCAGCACACTATAATCCAAATTCAAGATCATATTTTGCAGCGGTCATCCGGAGCGATACATTTGATTTCAGGCCACTGAATATCAGTGGCAGCTGGGGGTGTACAACTCCTCTAGAGCAGTTTTGAGTGAAGATCTCACAGGCAGTGATCCAAGTTGCAGTTTATTGGTGATAGCATTCCAGACCCTGGGGGCATCAATAGCAAAGGCCCTTCCTCCAGTATTTGTACGGCAATAAGGAATGTGAAGCTGGTAAATGAGCGAAGACCTTAGGTCACATTTGTTCTTCGAAACAGTGAGGAGATCCAGCAGGTAGTCTGCGGATGAAAATGGTAATTATTTAGCTTTATGGGGATTTATCACCAAGAGGTGAGTCACCGATATACATAATATATATTTTCACTTTATCAGGTAAGCCCCACTGAGCTATATAATTATTTTTCAGAAGCGACCTGGCTATCACAAATTATATCTCAAAGAAGTGGCTTTTCGCGTAGAAATTTAGAGCAGCCAAACACTCTAAACGCGCGTTTCAGATTTTCGGAGGGAAAAATCGGAGCCAGAGAAACATCCACGTGACCACCGTGGAAGATAGAGAGAGAGACACACAAACTCCAAATATACAGGAGTCTGGGTCGGGATCAAACCCATGATCACCTATATACCAAGCGAGGTAGTTAACATCTCGCCACAGTGGCGACCCATACCTCTAAAACAGACTGATAAATCTGCTGACTTCGGAACTAATTGGAACGTTTTGTTCACAACGTGACAACGCTTTCTAATTTGACTGTGTCGGGTGGAGGTGGGTTTACAACACATTCACAATTATGCGAGCTAACCCAATGAGTAACTAGCAGGAAGTACCCGGCGTTGCCCGGGCGAAAAGGGCACACACACACATCGACTTAGACACACACAGACATCAACCCACACACACAAACACATCGACTTACACACGCACACATATGGACTCAAACACACACATCGACTTACACACACATATATCGACTAACACACACACACATGGACTCACACACACATCGACTCACACACACATAGCGACTGACACACACACATCGACTTACACACACACATTTGAACTTTTCTATTTACTAACTCAGTTTTTAAAGATTAGTTTTCTATGTACGTCATGTTAAGGAAAGAACCAAGGATGATGGAAAATGCAAACAATTGTTAATGCACCTTTAAGAATCAACGCACTGTAATCGAAGGTCATACTTAACTTGTATGATATGCCTTTGTCTTGTATTGAATGCTATGAGTCATACATAATTGTTTAATCGTATAAAAAGACTAAAGAATTTGTACTGTAGTCTTTATTACTGATGTTTTTAATATTACTGTAGTAAGGCGCTTGAGGAAGCACAGACGGTCTATAATTTGTGTAATGAGAGAGCGCCATCTAAGGGACGACGAGGGGTGTTTGCATAGTCACTGCTGGGTAACTTATATCCAATCAGAAGGAAGGGTTCCATCTTGGCCAAAGGTAGCGGGCGGGGCTCGTGGGAATGTACGGGAAACATCTAAAAGGTTCCACGAGGGGCGTGGCTAGAGGCGGAGCCGAGAGCCATACAAGGAGAGGCAGTGAGAGGACTCTTGGTCGGTGTGCGGAG